ACACTGAAAAGTGTTTACCTATGAGAGCTCTGAACTTCACCTAGCACAGAAAGTATATCCCATTATCTATGGCTTTGCTTTCATTGTATTAATAGCAGTTTTAGGTTGTTTTCCTACTACATACCTTAGGTAAAGCCAAGAATGTATAAACAAATAATTTGCACTTTTCTTCTAGAGGAAGCAGTTAATGTAACTACTTCCTTATAATGACATTTGTAGTATTATTTTTACTTAAATTTCAGGTAGATTATGTTACATGCAGGTTCAGATTCAGCAAGTCTAATGGCTTGAATAATACCTGAAGGAGCACTAAGCTTTAAAGTAGTTTAATGTTTGTGAAGTGGTCTTCAATGCCTGCACACGTACAGGTACTGAGAGTATTTACTCTTTCTTTAGACAACCTGATAAAATTGGAAATCGTTTATAATGGAGTGAAAGGTGGGGTTTTTGTACATAGCAAACTTAAAATTGTTCATCTTTCCCAGCCTGTAACTTCTTGCACAATACACAGCTGGTAGCTGTGACTTGAGCATCTGCTTAGCCTGTACTGCAGAGCAACCCCTGACCTAGTTAGGGCTGTTTGTCCACAGCTCTTTTGAAATATGAACCAGTTCTGCTAAGTATGGTAGATACCTTTTCCTGTAATATTTTTAACAGAAGACATGCATTCTTTAGAAGAATCCTGATTTAGTTTTATTTCAGCTGGCTTAGGCTTCAGTTACACCTGCTGCTCAGTATAGTTCTACTTCAAAATGTTCAAGGTGACTAGTTTTTATTTTATGTAACATTAAATTTGAGGGCAGAGGAAAAATCCTGACTCATGCATATTTTGGAGTACAAGTGATTGCTTGTTACACATGGAATGCTACCATGAAAGTGTTTTTTAATTGAATTATTTAAGATGACCTGAAGTAAATGTGAAAGTGTTGCATTTGTCTGTGAACTCTTCAGTGTAGAGTACACTAAGAGGTTTATTCATATTATACATTAATACAATATATAAACTGCTTCAGTTATAAATTTAAGCTTGTTTCATCAGTTTTACTGAACTTTAGTTTTTAGTGTACTGACTTATGGAATATATAATTGGAATATTTCTTCAACTAGAACTCACTAAAGCATTGCTAACTGTTTGGAAACACTGAATTAACTTTTCAAATGATTTTGATGTAATTTTGAAATTGAGTAAATGCAACATCCAGTGACTGTGTTGTGGCTTTCTTCAAAGAACCTCATCTCAGAAATAGTATGTCTAGGCTAACTGAACAGTCATATTTTATCACTGTTTCTGTATTCTATCTTCAAAATTATTGTGGACTATGAGGATCTAGTTCTTAGTGTTGAGTAGATGTAGATGTTATTGTAAAGACTTCTTTAAAGAAAGGGCTCTTTTAGTAGAAAAAATTCACGAGCAGCTGCAATTTGCATTGCCCAGAAAATAATTTCTTTTCAATAAAATTATGTAAAACCTTGAGAACTAATTTTAATAAACTTGTCATTTTGTTTTAAGATCATCTCAGAATAGAGATTTTTCTACATTTAACTTCCTGTTGAATTTTTCTTATTATATCTTTCTACATCTCACTAAATTTCCTGGTGGTAGCAGCAGCTTTTGAGATTAATTTGGTTACCATGCATCATATCTCAATTCATAAATGAAGTTTCCAGAATTGTAAACTCCCAAGTCTTTTATGAGTGCAGTGGTGTTATGTGAACATAAACAGCCAGGATCAATGTTACTGTTTAGAGAGCAGATTTAACTAAGCAGCATACTAACAGGACCCTATGAAACCAGCTTCACAACAGCTTGAGAAGTTGTCTGAGCTTTCAGTGTGAACCTGCTGTTTGTGAACTGAGAAAGATGGATGAGTGATGTGATGTTCGGAGGCTGTCTAGGGCAAAGTGATGACGAGGTTTTGCTTCTTGGAGAAGTAAGAATAGGCGTCAGCAGCTCTGCCACCTTGGACTTTCAGAGGGCAGACTAGGGCCTGTTTAGGAAACTAGTTGAGAGAGTCCTCTAAGAGGTAGTCCTTAAGGGCAATGGAAGGAAGGCAGAAGGAAATCCTAGCTAGACATGCAGGAGCAGGGTCTCCTCAGGTGCTGAAAGATTAATCTGTGGGAAAGGAGGTCAGCCTGGCTCAGCAGAGAGCTCTGGTTGGAACATGGGAAGAGAGATCTTAAAACCTCTGGAATAAAGGGCAGGCAACTCAGCAGGACTACAATGAAGCTGTGAGATTATGCAGAGAAAAACATCAGAAGGATTAAAGCCCAGATAGAACTTGATCTTAATGCTGATAAAAAAGACAACAAAAAGTTTTTGCAAATGCATCAGCAACACAATGAGGGCCAGTGAGAATCTCCATCCGTTATTGCATGCAGAAGGAAAGAATGGCAAAGGATAAAGAAAAAGCTGAAGTCCTTAGTGCCTTCTTTGTCTGTTTTTAACAGAGTAAGACCAGTTATCCTTAGAGTATCTAGTCCCCTGAAGTGGAAGACAGGGATGAGGAGCAAAATGAAACCCTCATAATTCAGGAAGGTTAGTACTTGCTAGACCACTTGGCTGCAAGTCTGTGGGGTCAGATGGGATCCACCAAGGTTACTGATGAAAGTGGTTAGAAGAGCTTTAAATCATTTTAAGACACCAAGAGGAGACTTCATTTACCAGCAGTCCTGGTTGATGTGGGATGTGACTACATATTGGTAACTGTAACACCTATCTAAAAGGGTCAGAAGATGTATCTAGGGAACTACAGGTCAGCCTAAACTTTGTGCCAGAGAAGATCATGGAGTAGCTCATCCTGTGCCATCATGTGCAAAAGTCAGGGTTTTGGGGCCCAGCCAGTATAGTTTTATGAAGTGCAGGTCCTGCTTGATCTCTTTCTAGGGCAGTGTGACACTTAGTGGATGACAAAAGCCTGTGGATGTTGTCTGCTTGGACTTTACTAAAGCCTTTGACACTGTCTCCCACCCCATTCTCCTGGAGAAACCGGCTGCTCAGGGCTTGGACAGGTGCAGGGTTCATGGGTTAAAAACTGTCTGGATGGCTCGGCCCCAAGAGTGGTGGTGGATGGAGTTACCTGCAGCTGGTGGCCAGTCACAGGTGGTGTTACCCAGAGCTCCGTACTGGGGCCAGTGCTGTGTAATACCTTTATTGATGATCAGGTGAAACCTCTGTTAAGTTCATGCATGACACCAAGCTGTGTGGGTTATTGAGCTTCAGGAGAGCCTGAAGGCTCTGCAGAGGGATCTGGACAGGCTGGATCATGGGCTGAGGCCAATGGTGTGAGGTCAAGAAAGGCAAAATGCCAAGTTCTATTCTTGGGTCACAACAACCCCAGGCAGCTCCACAGGCTGGGGCAGAGTGGCTGGAAAGGACCTGGTGCCAGCAGCTGAACATGAGCCAGGCTGTGCCCAGGTGGCCAAGAAGGCCAATGGCATCCTGGCCTGGATCAGCAATAGTGTGGCCAGCAGGAGCAGGGCAGGGATTGTCCCCCTGTCCTGGGCACTGGTGAGGCTGCATCTTGAATCCTGTGCCTGATTCTGGGCTTCTCAATTCAGAAAGGACATTGAGGTGTTGGTGAAGGATCTGGAGTATGAATCCTGTTGAGCAGCAGCTGAGAAGAAAAGAAGGCTCAGGGGAGATCTTATCAACCTTTACAACAGCCTGAAAGGACGATGTAGTGAGGTTGGTGTTGGTGTCTTCTCCCAGCTAACTAATGACAGGACATAAGAAAATGGCCTCAGATTACCATTGGACATTTGGAAAAATTTTATCACCAAAATAGGGTCAGATTTTGGAATAGAGAGCCCAGAGAAGCAGTGAAGTCACCATCCCTGGAAGTGTTCAAAACACACATGGATGTGTTTGTTACCTGGGAACATGGTTTAATGGTGAAGATAGTGGTACTGCTGGGTTAATGTTTGACGTAACTGACCTTAGCAGGTTTTTTTCAGCCTTAATAATGCTTTGATTCTGTTCTATAACTCCATCAGAAACAGATGATGCAAAGCTTAGTTCAGATGATTCTCACAGTTTAAAATAAACTAAGTATTTCAGTAGAAGCAGTAATGATGGTAGGACTTTGGCTAAAAATGAAGCCAGAAAAGACTTCAGTAGGCTAAAACAAAGAGAAAGTAAACACTGAAAGAAAAAATCACTGAAAAAAACAAACTAATTGCAAAGGACTTTATACATGCTGGACATTTTAAGAATGTGGACAGAGAAAACACATACACAACTACTTTTAAAGAACAGAGGTAGATTACATTGTTTGCTGTTCATAGCAAACAGTACCATAACTTAATCTGATTTTTGATACAGGTACAAAGGATTGAGAAATTCACTCAACTTAGTACTTCTGACCTTTTCCTTTGTCAGAGATTTCAGTACTATGAAATTAATTTAATTGAATAGGAAAGATGCAAATAAACATGAAAAAGTTACAAACACTATAATGGGACAGGGTGGAAGTTTTTATCTTTAATTTTGCATAGAAGAGATGCAAGAAAGACAGTAGACTTTCTAAGAAACATGTAGATGTCTTTACTTTAAAATACAAAGTTACCAGAAACACAGAATTAGGGCACTTTAGGTACATTACAAATAGTAGAACTGGTGATTGCTCTTTCCTGGTATTTGCTATATCTAGGAATTATCAAAAATGTTTTTTCTTCCTAGAAAAAAAGCAGATTTTTTTCTGCTTAAGCTGGAACCTTCAATGCTGTCCTGGTTTAGGGCAAATTTGGGAGAGAATCTCCAAATGAGGGTCCCAACCAAAAAGCAGATTAAACTAGTTCCGGAAAATAATCTCCACAGAGAAAAGTGGAAAAAAGTATTTAACAGAAATTGAATAATATTAAACAATAAAACCTCTCACTGTTCAGTGAGATGGCAAATCCAGTAAAAAAGTCCTTTTCATGGGGTGTAGCTCGGCTCACTTAAGTCTCTTATCAGTCCCTTCGGCACTGGAAAGTGCCGAGGCCCAGGCCCCGGTGGGCCACAGGTGTGAGCTCCTGGGGTTTGGCTGGGTTTTCAGTCCAGAGCAGGTTTGCACAGATCCAAAGAAAAAACAATCTGGGGAACTTCCCTGCCTCGGCTAGCTAAAAAACAAACAGCCAAGGAGAGCTCTGTCCCACTCTCTGTCCATGCTGCAGACACCACAGTCCAGGAGCAGGATGTGGGGGAGTGATGTTTGTCCTCAACACAAACTGTGGCTTCTTCTTCCCCCCTTCACTCTCAGAGCCAGTCTTAAAGGTGCAGAACTTAATATGTAACATAAACCAGGCGAATGGGGATACAAGCTTCACAAAGTCACCCCTGCCTTACTTCACTGTTATATTAATGATGCTGATATCCTCATAGGGTTTGTCAGTTTTGGGATTGACTTTGACATTTGAGATTCTCTGAACAACTTCCATTCCTTTAGTCACCCGTCCAAACACGCTGTGCTTGTTGTCAAGCCACGGCTGTTTGAGAGCACAGAAGGAGAAAAAGAAAAGCATATTTAAGCATAAAATAGCAGCATGTAGGTTAGATACCAAACCAGAAACAGAGTAAGTGTACATGGATACATTTTCTATGTCCAGAATATGGAACCTAACCTAAGGCTGTAAATATCAGTATGCAAGTAAATACTAAAACGCAGCTAACACATATTCATATGCATTTGAACTTACCTTTTCAATTGCTTTCATAAAGTACTACAGAGGTCACATTCTACCAGTGCAGGAGCATTGTATAGTTTATTTTAAAGTGTGCTCTCAATTCACAGAAATGTTGTTTCAGTCTCTCTATTTCATGGTATTTTCACAGAGGAATTTTAAGTGCCAGTACAGAATGCTACCCAATTCAATACTCATATAGTATGCCCAATTTGAATACAGGCCTTCAAACAATTTAATAAACCTTAGAACTGTGGTAGATGGGTGTTTTTTTTACATTACTTTGGAGTGCTATAAGAATGCAGTGTTTTTAAGTGTTACTTTTAAGGATTTGGTTTTTATTGTCTTAGATTCCAAAATTTCTACTGTTGGCTTTGAACTTAGACACAGATCAAATGAAATTTTCAAACCTGAACACTGGCTTCTTTGTATAGCTACAATTAGGCAATATTAGACAGACATCCTGGCACCATATCCAAACCCCAAACAATCTAAGCAATACCTAGGTTTCCATCAAGTTTAAACTACTACTATTAACATAAGATACTCTAGTAATACATAATTGCAAACATGCCTAGGAATTATATACCACCCTCATTCCATTTAAAAGCATAAGGCCTCTTGATCACAAGTGATGGAAAAGTATTTCTGTCTCATAAAGGACAGTAAGTTTCAGTGAAGCCCATACACTACACATTATGTGCATCATTTATTTGTAAAGTAAGTACTAATGTGCTTCTTTTTCCATGAGAAAAAAAAAGTTGATTTTTTACTATCTAGGTAGCCTCTCAGGCCTTAAATTGAGATTTTAGTATTACTTACAGTTGGCACTACTGTTATAAAAAACTGTGATCCATTGGTATTTGGTCCGGCATTAGCCATGCTGAGTGTGTATGGTCTGTCATGTCGTAAAGTTGAATGGAACTCGTCTTCAAATTCTCCTCCCCAAATACTTTCACCTCCCATTCCTGTACCAGTTGGGTCACCAGTCTGAATCATGAAACCCTGCACAGAAATTATGTTATCACATTATTGCATAGAATACGTAATCAGAAGTGTTATATGCTAGGTGACATTTTTTCAAACTTAACTCCAAACCTTTCAACAAAATGTGTTAAAATGCTGTCTGTAAGGGAGAAAGCAGTTAAGGTTTTTTTAAGTGTCTAACAAGTACTTGTGAAGAAGCAAGGTTACTCACTATTCCTGCTAGAGAAAGACAGAAACCTGACTGTCTCTACCTTTTGCAAATTCTTAGGCTCTATCACTTAATTCTGGTGTGACAGAAGTGAGAAGCCTTAGAAGGAAGGGCTGACATGAAGCAAAGTTTTAATTCAAGCAGGATAGCTGAACTCATCTTTCAATTTCCAGTTTTCTGCTATCTTATCAGTTGCAGAACAACTACTACAACTTCAGTAAGTGCTAAAGCTGCTTAGAATATCAGAGTTGTTCAGAATTTACAAGGAACTGTAAAGCCACTCTGACAATTCTGTGTGCAAAAGGGAAATGGAAGTCTTAGCAGAGGACTGACCACCAGAGTACAATACGTAAATTAACAAATATTAACATACTGCATTTTACCTTGATGATACGGTGAATTATGTGTCCATTGTAGTAACCATTCCTGCTGTGCACACAGAAGTTTTCCACTGTTTTGGGGCACCTAAAATCATAACAGAAAACACAAGCTACAGCATTTGTCTGGTGACAAGGCCACAAAGATTTCAGCTGGGAGTAAGATCCTTCCATGCTGTGCAGTGTTTCAGGACTCTGTAGGAAGGGACTTCACCAAAAAAGGAAAAAAAAATAAATCTCCACCTCCTCAAACCCAGAGTTGAAAGCAAAAGGCTTGTGAAGTACAAAGGTGCATGATTACACAGAAAGGCAGCAGCCATGTTGGTGGCACAGGGATGTTTTAGCTGTTGCTGAGCAGGGCTCATGCTTTGTCAAGGCCTTTTCCACTCCTCATCCCACCCCATCAGTTAGGAGGCTGGGGCTGTAGAAGGAGTTGAGAGGAGACTCAGCTGTGACAGCTAAACCCAGCTGACCACAGGGATGCTCAATTGCACATATGGCATCATGCGCAGCATGTAAAAGCTGAGGGGAAAAAGCGGGGGACACAGAGAGTAACAGTGATTTGCCTTCTCATATACCCATTCCATGTGATGGAGACATGTTTTCTTGGAGACAGTGAAACATCTGCCTGTCCATGTTCCTTGTTTTTGCTTTGCTAGGGTGCATGCCTTTTGCTTCCCCTATTCAACTGTCTGTAGCTCAACTTGCAAGTGTTATCACTCTTACTCTTCTAGTGCTTTCCCACTCCACCAAGGGGGATGTGAGTGAGTGGGTCTGGGGGACTTAACTGCTGGCTGGGGTTAAACCATGAGAGCTAGAAACCTGACCTGTCTCCTCAAGGACTAGCTCAAGGCACCACTGACTATAGCTTCCCCAGCTTCCTATTTACACTATTCGTTTTGTAGATGAACTACGTTTCCCCGTAAGCAGAATGTTGTTCACTCTTTTGCCTCTACACTTGTTTTAAGATATACATGCAAAGGTATTGAGTGTTGCATGCAAGATGTAATATTAAAATGTTTTATTACTACAGAACTTGCAGTCAGTAGAGTCAGTTATTCTTTGACACTACTCACCAACATTGTTTGGTGAAGACATGGAATCTTATTGTTGATGGAATAAAAAGGGCCAACCACTTCACCTTTGTGATTTGATTCTTTACTTCTGGGAGGTACTAACAAAGTGAAATTTTTTTACGACAGCTCTTCAGCTATTATAAAAATTATTAGCAGCCAGAGAAAATCTACACTGACAGGTTTACACAATCACACGTTTTCCCAATAAGGAGAAAATGGCCAAGTTAAGTCCGTAGCTGTAGAGTTAGTCTAACTGTGAAAAGGAACATTAGCTTGGGTTTTAATGACAAGTGACAAGATACCTTAGAAAGCTATGTTGTGAAAAAGAGCACCAATGGGATAACTAATGGAACAGATTAGATTATAGTCCCTGTTCTTGCCGAGCAGTATACAGTTATTCACAACTTTATTTCTGAAATGACTGAAGAATTCAAGGGCATAGAGAGCCCTTATATATATATCCTATTTGCTCCACTTTAAAAGTTTTAATCACACTAAAGAGACTTTAAAGCTCAGCTGGGAGAAAATACTGCAATAAGAAACAACAAACCTAACAGTAACCAACTCGAGTAATGATGTGTTTTAAACTGCATACAGAACATTGCACTTTGCAATACTGTGCATGCAGATATGACCCATCAGCAGGACAATTAAAAAAAGAAGAATTAATGTAGCTTGGCCTGTCACTCACTGGCAAGAGCTGTACCATTACTGCAACCTTTGTGCCATAATTATGAATTCTAGAAACTAGATCCTGTTGTAAGGAAACACTGGTAAAGACTTTTACTGCAGTAAAAGACTGGTAGCCCTAGAGGGTAGAAGTGAGGTTGCCTTACCTGTGCTTATGACCTAACATGAATTTGTTTTGGGGAAGCATGGAGTACATCCACGTAATTTAGGTTTCTATGTGTCGCAAAATATTATATAAATTTCCTGTTAAATAACAGAATATTTGCAATTTTTGCATCACAAAGGAGAGAGGATGACACACTGATTTTAGCAATTGTCACGCATACAACTTTTCAATTCTATGCCTGGTTTTGGATATACACAACACTAGTATTATATGCTGGTATAAATGTTATATTGCTTTTAAAGGAGCTGCAGTAACAATATGTAGTACACTGGCCACGTTTGGAAGTTGCAACTACTATTCTAGCTTGCACAGACCTGCTGCCAAACCTACTGCTGCTGCCAACATCATCATTCTTTTTCAAGATCTATGCAAACAGCATTGCCTTACAATACAGAGCTTACACAGAAGAGCCCTGTACAAGAATGAAAGTTAAGAAAATACCCTCCCCGAACCAATAGCTAAATAAACCCAAAGACAATTTCAAAAACTCCTGTACCCCAGACAATTATTTTGACCTATTTTTACACTACTTTATTTTTGTTTGTTAGGAGTCACATATCTACCTTGGCATATTAAGAAACTGTCAGGGAACAAACACAGTAGAAAAAGGGAAAGAAAATTATTCTTTCTAGCATGAGATAATCTTGGATACTGCAACCACAAGGGACAGAGGAAAGCAACAAAACCAAAACAAGAGAAAAAACAGCAAGTACATACTCAACAGGAAAAAGCTTGACATGAATATCTCCCATGCTTGTGTGGATGATGGCACTGTCTGACACTCTTTTGGGACCTTCTGCCTGAGTGGCTGCCATGACCTCTTCTTTAGAAGGCTTCTCATTAAATACATCTCTGTCAGAATCTGCACTCTTTGTGTCTTCTGGTTCACGTTTAGTAAACTGAAGCACAAAAGAACAGAAGGTTAACTGCTTTTTCCTTTTAAATATAATATTCTTCATAAAATACACACTGCTCTGCACACAACACATCAATGTAATTATTCAACCTGCTGAACACTCAGTTCAGTTTGAAATGTACAAAGACAATTCATAGATAGTCTATCCTACTCCTGTGTTGTGTTATACCAGCATTTCCACTGTCAAAAATTCCAGTAAAACTACATGCAAATCCAAGTAACTTTTAATGATCTGTTATCTTTAAACTTTCTGCTTCACAACAGGAGTCTGCAGCAGTTCAGCACCTTTTCTTTAAAATGAAGCAGAGAATTATCAGGTTGTTCTGCTATACTCAGATAAAATTGGCAGGTTTTATGCCAAAAGGATTAGTTGTGCTTTATAGCTGTGCTACAAAGCTAAAGTAAATTCTCTTAATCCAAAACTGCATTAATATAAAACTGTAGAAACTCAGCAAATTTAAGGCATAACAGAAAGACCAATCTCTAACCTCTACAGTTATGATCTCTCACATCAGCTACTAACCATTCTGAAACTGATTGTTCGGTTTCACCTCTCCTAAAAACCTAACTGTGAACAGGATGATGATTGCCTCTTTCTTGTTTACCTATAATATCTTTAGTGTTACTAAGTCCTGATTCTGGTCTGAATTTTTTTTCTATTGTATTTTTTTATGCATACCGTCACTTATTGTTTCTTTATAAAATCTGGTTAGCTTTTTAGATGATCTTACTTGTTTTTTTTCAACAAGAACAAAAGGATATCATCTTCTTGAGGGAATAAAAATTTATGAAAAAATTACAGCTGTTTCCAGTTAATGTATATAGTTCAAGATAAAAATTCTAAATATACTTGCAATATAAAGAAAATCCTTTTTAAAAGCTTCATTTGCAGCTACAAAAAGCACTAGAAAGATGCAAAAAGAAAAATAAAAAATAATGTAGAGAAATCAATACAAGAATGGAGCTATTTAAATAGAAAGCACACACACCATGTAAAACCTGTTTTTTTTAAAAGCTGTGCAGATTACTGTTGGATCTGCCTGAATATTCTGGAGAACAGGATTTTCAGATGCCTTCATCTCAATAGTAATCGCCGCACGATGTTTCTTTGCTACTCCTTGGAACAAAGCCAGTTGCATCATTCTGATGTTCTCTTGTTTTCCCAAGATACGAATACACCTGAAGTACAAGACGAAAAGAGGTGTAATGTTCAGCTGTTCACAGTTAATCTCTCCTTTCTGACTATTCTATTCAGAGCAAAATTTCAAAATCCTCTCAGAATCATTACCTACTAACCATTTTTAAGATGTTTCTCTATTTAAACTCGCTACCTTAATTTGCCAGTCATCCTCCTTATGCAATAAAATCCCAACTAAATGATCCACCTTTACTTTACATTATCCCATCCTGTTAGCCAAACATTAATTGATTAATTACACATTTTTAATACACATGTGCTCATCATGTTTTCTCATTTGCCTAAGCTCTAATCCGCAGTGACTCTTGACAGAGAATGGAAGTACCTTCTCTACAGTGTAATGTAAGGGCTCTCAAATAACAACACAAAAAGATCAGACACCTCCACACTCATATCAAGTTTCAAGTATGCTCTAAATTTGACTGAATAAAGACTTTAAAAGAGAAATTTTTGTGTCACTGGAACTCACCTGTTAGTCTCTACATTTATGACCTTAATGCCCAACATTGTTCCATAGAGAACGAAGTGTCCAGTTTCATCAAAAATTATATTAATTAATCTTACTGCATCCACTTTCTCCAGCTCACGCTCAACTGCCATACGTCGGCCAAACTCCATGTCAGGCAGTTGTTGTCTCATCTGCTGAAGTTCAGTAAACATCTACAAAAGAAACCCCAGCACTACTATATTAGCATGTTTAAAACTTTTTATCCAAAAAAACTCTGATTCACATGATTAAAAAGTACTGAAATCAAGTGAGATTATGCCACTTAAACTCAACTGAAGGATTTAAGTAAATACTTTCTTGATTTTAATAAAACCATAGGCATGTTGTAGGACTAGGCTTAAGCACACAAAATGCACAGTGGTCCATCAAATTCCTTAGAAGATGACAAATTTTAATTCATTATTATGATGTTACTTGTAATGGGCATTTCCCACCATCTTCCACAAATGCTTTCTAGTAAAATGTAATCTAGCAGCATGAAAACACAAATAAAAATCAACAACTGTTTCACTATGTAACATCACCAGTAAGAATTAATTTTCGCAAGAAAAATTTAAGAAGCTAGCTCGCCTTTAGAAATAAATGATAGCTTAGGTGAATGTGCTGGCAAAAAAATTCTAGTAAGTAGAGAAAACATTTTAAAGAAGAAACAAGCCAAACTCACACTCAGAGATTCATCGAAGACTCTCATGAGTTTTCCCGTCAGAAAACGAAAAATTCTGACTTTTCTGTCAGACCCAAGAGTGGCCATTTTCTTGCCATCAGGTGAAAAACTTATACTGGATGGGTAAGCTTTGCATTTAGCAAATTCATATAGATCGGTATCTGTTTTATACTCCCAGTTCACATTTTTGGGAAATTTATATTCATGAGGAGTACCAGTCCAGTACTCAATCATTCCGGACTTGTCAGAAGACACAACTACTTTGTAGACAGGGTTCAGGCGTATCTGAGTAAGTGGGGACATATGGAGTTTATCAAAAATATGAAGTGGCTGGTTATTTCCTCGTCCATCATATATGAATATTTTTCCTGTACTTTTCTCAGATGTTGCAACAGAAGATATGGCATCTCCAGGGCAATATACCCATTCACACTGGCCAGGGTGGTAGCTGCAACAAAGAGTAGAAAGGAAAAAAAATTAAAAATAAGTAAGAACTGATTTTAATTAGCTAAGAGTCAAGTTATGCTATAAACATCAAACATCAGAAGCAAATTCTAAACTTTATTTACTAGTTTGGATAATACTTTATTTACTAGTTTGGCTACATATCTTGCTAATATTCAGCATATTGTAGACAAGCTTTACCAAGAAACATCACTTCAGTGCATGACTACCAATTTCTGTTCCTTCCATACTGCTTTGTAAAGAGGCTGTGATAGCCAAAGTAGAAAGTGGGTCAAAAGGAGCAGTTTGGACAGAAATCCAGATAAAAAGCCCTAGTGGCATTAATAAATAGTACTCAACTTATGAGTCAATACCATTTCTCCTCCATCTGTTAAGTGAGTAGTGACTGTAGAAATGAAGACAACTGCACCTCTGCCATATACTTATGGAAAAGTTCAACTAGATCTTGCCAGAAAAAAACCCACAAAATCTCCAAGAAGTGATATAAACAAAGTTAAGACAATCCCCCTATATTCAATAAGGGTTGTGAGTGCATTTAAGACGGAACTTATTTGCTACTTGCAAAAGCGTAATCTACAAATAAAACAAGTCAGAGATATAGTCAATAACATAAGTTATATATTTTTTAAAGTCTGTAAGCAAAGATTCTGAAAACTACAACTCAAATGGCAAACATCAAAAAAATGATACAATCTCCATAGCAAACTCATGTTTAGTATCCTTTCGCAAATCAAACTAACAGATGCTAATGGACTGATATTTTGACATTATGACAGACACCAATAATTTGGATTTTCAAGGTCTGTCAGTAAACACAAACAAATACTTCATCTCAGGTTCATTAGAAAGAACAGGATCAAATAAATAAATATAAAGTCTCTGCAGAAATAGCCAATCTTCTCCAGATCATGGATGGAAGCATAAAGCATAGGGATTTGCACAGAGCCATGGTGTATATATTAGTTAGAACTAGAAAGCTCTGAAGATCAGGCGTGCTTTTTTTTGAATATTATTTTCTTTTTTCTATAATTTTACTAATTGTAGTAAATTGTAATTACAAAAAAAGTAACTGCAAAATTATAACTGCAGTAATTACAAAAAAGTTATTGTACTAATACGTAGTAATAGTACATGTTATGCTGCTATATCAAAAATAAGAGCAAAACCAAGAAGATTAAGCGTAATTGGAATTTTTCCAGAACAGCCAAGAGGAAATCTACTCCTATCAGTAAAGTACATTACTTGGAGGATGATACTAAAACTGTAACAAACAAAGCAGATGACATATGCTTTTATTAGATCTCCCTACGTAAAAGCTTTTTTCCCTGATTTTGTACTTCTATTCCGTTTCAAAATTAACCAATACATCATAAACTACGAAGAATATGTTTCCCAATAATAAAAGGCTTGTGGAGAAATCAGTATTTATCTTGTTCTTGATGCAGCATTCATTGATCCTTCAGCCCTTCAAATCCACCTTTTAACAGTGTAGGGCTTGGTTTTTTCTGGTATTGTTACAATTCCAGTAACATCCATTCCTGTCTCTTCCAGATCCTTTAGCTACATACTGTTTAACTATAGAAATGCTACAAGACTAAAGAAAATGACAATATTGCTTCTAGCAGAAAAAAGTGACTGTATCCCTATGACAACATATGAGACAACACAGATAGGCCAAACCCCTTCTCTAATAGAACTACTGATACACTGCAATTTTTAAATTCAGTGCCGAACAACAGAAATGCCTAGCTAAATATTTGAAGAAACCCTACATCTCTGTGCATAATAATCCTTTCCTACTCCTCTCTTTACTGCTGCAGTTGTAATTTTTTCTATTCAGTGAGACAGTCTCCAGCCACTGGATTCATTTCAGACAATTCAATTTACTAAACTTGATCTGACGGGGGCATGGGGGAAGAGGAAGAACTCAAGAACCCCAAATTACTGACTTTTCTTTTGGCAAAACATCCCCCACTGATAATCTCAAACGAACAAAAAAGTAAGAAGTAAGAGAAGTAAGTAACTTACCCAAGTTTCAGCATGTTTATCATGTCGAAGTTGACTACATCAAACACCTTCATTGCTTTGTCATCTCCAACTGAACAGAATAATGCCCCCTCTGAACTAACAGCAATACTCTCAATAACACCTGTGTATCAAGTTAAGATACTATTAATAAACAGGAAAGAACATCCTTCACTTCAGTATTATACAGGGAAAACCTACAGAGGTTTAAACCTGTTTCCCAACTGTTTTGTCACCTTTTCCATTTAAAACTCTACCTGACTTCAATAAAATATTATTTAAAAAAATAAAATTCACAGAACAACACTTTACAGCCTATCAGTGTTTAGACTCAGATATGTGATAATGAACAATTTATCAAAAACATAGTAAAATATTAAAATGGCAGTAAGTTCAGTTTAAAATTTTGATTTTAGAAAATTGAGAACATTGGGCAAACATCATGTGCTCCTCAGCTTGCATCTCTCAATAGGGTAAAAGCAGAACACTACTGACTATTACAACCCACGACACTCAAAACTACTCTGCAGTTGAGCCTTACATGAAGTTCTCACAATGCTGATTTTTACATGATAGGTTTTGTTCTCATATTTTGCTTCTATATATAATAAAAAGGTCATAGTTAAGATAAAAAACATTAATATTTCTTGCAAACTCTAAAAGGCAACCATACTTATACTACTTATTATTATTTTTCTTACCATACATTCTGTGTATCAATATCAAGGATTTTTTTTCCTTTAGGCATATCATAATTTTTAATACCATTGAGAACAACATTTTGTGTCCAGCCTATTTAATGCTTAGCATAGTGTTGAAAAGCTTTGTGTACTCATCATTAGCTCAGAAAATTGGGTTAAAGTTTCTTTTAATTGCAATTCATCTGATAATTAGAACAATAATGCAGAATTTACTCTACAGTTACAGTAATTCCAGTTGAAAATAGCTGGTTTTTTTTCCACTCTGTAAGGGGAAAAAAAAAGCTGAGGTACCCTTATTTAAAGCAACATATTTTTAAACTTCTCTGGCTTTTATGAACACTGCTGTGTTTTTAGTTCACTTATGTCCCAGATATTGTCCCCACAAGCAGGGCACAAGGCAATGCAAAGGCTGTAGGGAATCTGTGGAGGCAGAGTCCCACATGTTTCATTTTCATCCTATCCCTACTAGAGCTTGGGAGCAACCATGACAGAGGAATAATAGGAAGATTATTGGTCGATATTATTTAACCTCTGACTGCACTAAAGGAACCCCAGAATCTCTCTCTATTAGCACTCTCTCTTCAAACAACAAAGAGCAAGGGAGAGGAAAAAGTGAAGTCCTTTAGATAAGAAAGAGCAAGTTCTCACCCAAGTGACTTCGGAAGTGTTTAACAAACTCAATCCCTTCTTCTATTTTCTTCCAGAATTTTACATGTCCGTCATGACTGGCTGTTATGATAAAATCTGTCCTACAATTACAAAGAAAAATGAAACCAAGAAAACAGATGCACACATTATACATCTTCCCACTGGACAGTAATTTGCACTAGAATTAACACAGTGCAGAGAATGATTTTCAAGAAATTACTGTGACAGTCTATCTAAATAGGAACTGTAATTCCTGGAAAAATAAAACAGGTATTTTAGTGCATTCTGGATTAATCTATGAAAAGTCATAGCTCAAACTGAAGAAATATATGTAACACTACCCTTTTTGAATATGTAAAAATAACTCCTATTTTAAGTCTGGTTTCATGGTAGTTACTATGTGTGCGTGTGTGTGATTTCTGCAGTTCTGATAAATTGTATTTTTTTCAGAGAGAGTAAATCAATCTTATTACTGTATTTCCTGCATATTTTAACAAGGATTTAAAGACCCTCCTTTGGCCTACAAAAACAACTTATATCTTGCTTCTAGCTAAGACATTTAGTTTTTAAAAAAAACCCACCACCCTTTAAAAACCACCTCAGGACACTGTAACTTTCCATTACATAACTTCTACAACGAAAACTTGGTAGCATACACAAAAAGACACCCCAGACAAAGAAACAGAATGGAAAACAAAAATACTTACTTGGTACATGCTACATGTGTAATAACATCTCTGTGCATGTAACTGCGTTCATACATTGAAGCCGACGGTAGATTTTCAAGATAAACATGTTCAAATTCAAGAACTACACAGAATAAAAAAAAAAAATCAGATATTTTTTTTTCCATGAAGTTGCATCTATATTTTGTTCTCTTTCACTTATCCTTGTATTGCTTACTCATACTTTAATCAAAAATATGCAGAATTTTGTGCAAACATAATTAAAGGTGCTTAATTATGTGTTTTAATTATATGTTTTTAGCTCTGGCTTTGCACTCAGACTTACACATTTTCCACAGACTAAAGCCACCCGAATGCTGCTTTAACTCACATTGCTCTTCCCTTTTAAAGCAACTGCTACCCTAACTTATTGTCTCCAAAAAACCAAAGTCAACTAAGTTTTTAGGTTACTGTCAGAAAACAGGTAGTCATCTAAACCTCATTTCATTCTAAAACCATGTGAAAAACAAGGTTCACATAATTTTTATAGAATTTAAAAGTTTAATAAAAAAGACAATTAGGAGAAAAAAATAAAGTATACCGATATGGCCGGGTGTCTCTGCATTCAGCAGAGAAAGCACACCTTACTGACAAAGGATTGCCCCTTAAAAACAACACTACTACATACCCATAAATTCTCATACATATTCATACATTCTTCTTAGGATCTTTGGTGTTCTTCTGTTTAGTTTTCTCTTGCCCCCTTTCCAATAGATCAATCTTCTTGGCATCATCGAGATTTACATTCCCTGATACCAGAAATGCAATAAATTCCTCCCCCCAGAGTCCTGGTCACTGCTGTCTTCATCTGGATAAGATAGTTTACAAATGCAGGAGTTCTCTAGCTATTTTTTTTTCTCAGTCTTTGGGTTATACAAACAAAAGCAGTTTTTATTTTAATACTATGCTATAGCCTAACATATATGTATTATACCACTATTTCTAAGTTTCATCAATAACAGAAATAAAGAAAACTATATTAATACAACAAAATTTCCCATTCTTATATACATAACATTCATTTTAATGTTTGCGAAAAGCCAACAATATAATATGTATCTATAACAACCTCATGTATCCACACCTTGTTTTTATAACATTTGTGGTCCCACACAGGTCCAGTAGTCTAAATTCTAAGTGCTGGTATCCACCAATTTCATTGCTTAACTGGCTGACCTAAAATAACGTGATTTTGAGTTTTGTTTCCGATTTTTAGATCCTCCTTGTTAATACCTGTACAATGGTATTTTTCACTGAACTTGCATGTTTACATCTGCTGAACTTTGTTTTCTTTACTTAAAGAAAACTTAAAGTGATGTCCACAGAGCTGGGAGCTGCTGCACACATCAATACCACATGCCAAAATACAGCCTAGAAGCTTTTCCTGTTGCTCCATGTTATAAATGCAAAGGCAAATTTAGGTTAAATAAAAGAACAGTTTATTATAAAACAATTTTTATAATAAAAATAAACAACGAGGAAAAACCACAATAAAATAAACAGCGCAGCGCTGGGTGGACAGGGGTCTATACCCAAAGGTATAGGTGTTCCCAAATCCACGAAGGAGGGTAGACTGTCCGGGGGTTTTATAGGGATTTTGTGTCCTGAGGCCAAAACTCTGAGCAGTTACTGTTCAACAAAGAGTTTAGATGGCTGGTTGAATGAATTTCCTGGAACCGTGGAACTGAATCAATAGACGACTGGGCAGAGTCCTCTCGCATGTGAAAGGTTCTGAGTGCTTCTTGATTGTATCTTCGGTTGGGCTCTCAGAGTGAAGTATCCAAGTCCGGTGTGGAGTCGACGGATATCTCGGCTGGGCTTCCACTTATTGTCTGGCCTGATTGCATCTTCAGTCGGGGTTTGCAGGAAGGGGTGCCCAGGTGCGGTGTGGAGTCGATGGCCATCTCGATGGCCATCTCGGCCTGGCTCCTTTCTTTGTTTGGCTTAATTGTTCGTGTCCTGCTTTTTCTTTCAGGCTGATGAACGTCGCCTAGGGTTGTTACCGCCTGAATGGGTAGTTACTGCTGGGTTTGGGGAAATTCTTCGGCCACACTATATTTTATATACTTTTTACATTGTTACAAATCTAGTTATATACTTATTTATTCTTTCACGAATTTTTTATCCAAGGTTACATTTATCACACTCCAGTTTAGGCTAGTGGTCTGAAAGATGGATTAACTCCACATCCATAAATAGCACAGTGTTACAGATACATATTATATTATTGGCTTTTAGCAAATATTCAAATGAATGTTATATGTATAATGTTAGAAAACTTTGCTGTATTAATATAGTTTCTTTTATTTTTGTTATTGATGAAACTCAGAAATAGTAGTATAATATATTGCGTTCTGCAGCCACAAGTCCAGAGAAGCTACAGTTACCAGCATGGGACACCAACCAGACTGGCTTCTGCTCAGGAAACCATTTATTCAGCATGGGAACAAAAAGATCCAGAGACAGAGAGCCCCGAATAAAGGCAAGGAGATGGGTTTTGAGGGACAGAAATAGAGTGGAGTTCAATGTCAGGGACCACTAGGAACATTGCAAGGGAGAAGCCCCAGGGGCTCAAACCTAATCAGAACTCCCTGGGCTGCCACCCCGTGAGGGGTCTGGGGTGGGGCAACTCTTTCAGGGCTCACAGAACACATACCCTTGAGGCAGGTTTTAGAATTCACACTAGCTGGGCTTACAGCCACACCTCTCACTTTAACAGTGCTTATCTGAAACGAAATCTTTGTCTCCCTGGGCAGGGGGTCACCTCACAATAATACATATATATCATGTGTTAAGCTGTAGCATTGTGTTAAAATAAAAACTACTTTTGTTCATATAACCCAGAGACTGAAAAGATAGTCAGAAACCGCCCACTGCATTCTTAGATTATCTTATCCAGATGAAGACAGCAGTGACCTGAGCTCCAAACAATGAATTAATTGAACCTCTATTACTGGGGAGCGTGAAACTCAATGGAGCCAAGATTGATCTATTGGCGAGGAGAGGAAGCTAAACAAAAGAACATCTAAAACTAAAGAAATGTTTGAATAATACATGAGCATTTGTGAATATGCAAGAGATTTGTATATTTAAGGGACAATCCTTTGTTAGTACGGGATGCTCTTGGCTGAATGCTGAGACACCCAGCCGTATTTGTTAATTTTTTCTTATTCTATCTCCTAATTGTCTATTAAACTTTCAAAATTTTATATAATAAAATGTGAACCTCGTTTTTCTCAACAGCTTCAGACTACACAGCAGGGCTCTTAGCCTGAAAGTGTTCTCCAGAGGAAGCAAGTCTTAGAATCATAGCATATTCAGGGGCTAGAATCAGCCTCTAATACCATCTAGTCGCAAGCCCCCTCCTAGTAGACCAAGTGGCTCAAAGCTTTATTCAACCTGGCTTGGAACACTACCAGGGTTAGAGAGCTCAAAAAATCACTGGGCAACCTGTGCCAGTACCTCACAGAAAGAATTACTTATACCTAACCTGAATTTCCCCTCTTTCAACCAATTACTCTTGGTGCAGGTCCCGTCACTACAGTTCCCGTCTGAGTCCGTCCCCAGCTTTGTTGTAAGCACCTTAAATACTGGAAGATTGCTATGAGGCCTCCACGTAACTTTCTCTTCTCAAAACTGAACGACCACCACTTTCTCAGCACCTGGCACCCCCACCCTTTAATTCGGCACCCAAAGGTTGCGTAGGTACCCCCAGCGTACTCATTCCACATACGAGACAGCTTCAGGACACGGGCTCCCGACAGCTGCTCTCACCCCGTGGCCGCTACCAGCCGGCGGGGCCTAGAGGCGATCTCACCGCCTCGACCCCAGTTCGGCCAGAGCTCCGCTCCTTCACTTACCTCTCCTCTTCTTCGCCTGTGCGGCCTCCCCCGGGAGCGGCCCGACCCAACGCTCCTCCTCATCCTCCTCGTCCGATGCCGCCGGATCCCCGCCGCCCGCCACCGGTAGCTTTCGCTTGCGCTCGAGCTCGGGGGACGCCATGGTACTGACGTCACTTCGCCGCGCCGGGCGCTCTGAGATCACGTGAGCTCCGCGGCGGGAAAGGCGCGAAGCGGCAGCCATGGTAGTAACGGGCGGGAGGGGTGGCGGGAGAGTCCCGGGCGGTTCCCGGCACTCGGGGGATCCCGGCGCTCCGACATCGCTGGGTCGGGAGGTGCTCTCGGCCATCGGGCTCGCGGGGCTGCTTTGCAGGGAGGGCGCTGGCTTCCTGGCTGGGAATGGGGCGACGTTCATCCCTCGCTTATGAGCGGAGATGTCCCGCCTTACGTCCTCCCGCCGTTGTGCTGCTGGGGTTCGTATCGGGGGCGCGGGGGCTCTCTGTCTCACCGCTTTTGCAGTGTTATTTGTACCCTACCGATTACTGTGCTTCTACTTCTTTATTGGCTCTTTCACAAACGTGGTGTCAGTTTCCCCTCACCGCCTTCCCTCAATTGGTCGTTTTGTGCTTGATCACATGACGCTATTCGCTCTTAATGTGTGTGAGTGTGTGAAGCGATAGTGCCAAGAGAATGGATTCCGGCTCTTTTCGGTGGCTCTGAGCAACAGGACGACAGGCAGTGGGCAGATAGTGATGCACAAGAAGTTCAACCTGAACATGAGGAGGAACTTCTTTACTGTGCAGGTGACTGCGCAGGAACAAATTGCCCAGAGAGGGGTGTGGAGTATCCCTCGCTGGAGATCCTCAAGCACCATCTGGACACAATCCTGTGCTGTGTGCTCTGGGATGACCCTGCTTGAGCAGGGAGGTTGGACAAGATGACCTCCTGTCATCCACTCCAATCTGACCCATTCTATGATCCTGTCATAAAGCCTTGGCTAGCATAGAGCCTACACTTGACGTGTGTATTTTAAACCTAATTAACCTAATTTTAACCTAATTATGTAAGGTAAGAAGGAATAACATTTTGAAATGGGAAGACATTAGTATTAATGCCAAAAAAACCTTCAGTTCTCATGTATGTTGTAGAAATAGAAATGTAATTTACCCATACTGAAATAGGGAAAATTGCAAGTTACCAAAAAAAAATCTGAAAGTGACACTTCAGTGTGTGTAGTGTGTAAGATAATTAAGAGCACAGCATTAAGGACTGCAAATCAGTTAGCTTGTGAGAGCCCTGTCATATTTCATAATATGTACATTTTGAAATGTTGGATGAAATTGATCTGGAAATTTAAAGTCGGCAACAGAATCATTCAATCATTTTTGTGTGATGGAGGTTTTCTGGCTTTCTCTTTCAGAGTTTTATTCATGGAATGCTTTCATGGTGATGAACTGTAGTACTGCAGGGGACATGGGCAGAATAGGTTTTTATCCCACTCCAAGACCCCTTTTAAATTTCCAAAGCATGGGGTTCTTTTTCTCCCCATGCTTTTATTCTTCTCCTTCCCCACTGTCCCCCCAGACCTTCTTTCTTTGTCTCATTAGCAGTTTTTTGTCTGAGAAAAAACTTAAGATTTCTTAGTTTCTTTCTTAGTTTCTTCTTTCTGGGCAGTCTGCTGGAGGCATTTCAGAATTCTTAATAAATTATGGGAACTGGTCCTGTTTTATATTGTGGAGACATTCCAAGACTCTCAAGAAGATAATGATTTTCCTTTGCAAAATCTATGCTCATTAGTTCTTATAAGATCACGGTAACCTAGATTTTCTAATGTTCCACTTTAAATGCAACAGATTTCCCAGGAAGACTTAGTAGATTGGCTACATAAGAGTTCTCTAGTGTAATTCCAGGATTCAGTGAGATGTTCTGATTTTCTTTTCTCATCCACTTTGCAATGAGGTACTTGAACTTTGGAAGTTCTAGTTGAATATTTCACTCCTTTTAAGTTTGGTTTTCAATGTAATTTTCTCTGATGCTGTGTTTTTGCTCTGAAAAAAAACAAAAGATGGAGTTAGTAATTTGTGCTTCATTAAGAAGGCAGAAGAGTGCAATTCCTTTCTATTGCCTATTTTTAATGTTTCTATTTAATCTCTATGTTTTTGGTGAGCTTAGTGATACACTAAGTTATTTTTAAAGGCTTCCTGCATCTGGTAGATTTAGCCTGTTGGTTGTTTTCCCTGGAAAAGAAATTTTGCCCATTCTTATTTTTCCCCTGTTAATTGCTGGTGTCATTCAGGTATTTCTTAAGTGAGAAAGCTAGAATTAAATTTAGGAATTTGTATGTGTTTGTTTCTGACCCAACAGTTTCTCAAAGTTTTTAATTTAATTTGGGTTGATCTTTCTTTTTGCTGTCCAGTGCCCTCTTTTCTTGGTTGTCTGTATATCTTTCAGGTTCTTTTGTTATTTTTCTAGTAACCTTGAGGATGCTTGATTTGTTAATCAAATATATTCTGAATTCAAATGAAGGAGAATCATATTAGCACATTCATTGATGGAGCAGAAGTAACTGTTTAAAAGCTTTGCAGATACATGGAGGTAAACTCTGGCCTTGTAGATGCGAGATTCTCTTATTGTTTCTATATGAGTAAAGAAGCCATTGCACATAATCAAAGCAGTTATGAAAATTTGGGACTTTGTCATTCAATTTTAGAAGTAAATTATTAGTGTCTTCTAATTTTACTTAGTTATATAGTTAGCTGGTTTTACTTAATGGCTGGATGCTTTCTACATCTATAAAGGAGTTAGGTAAAAGCTTTGGATTAAGAGAGTTTATTCTGTTACATAGTTGAACTCAAGTGGCAGGTATGATTTAATCAGTTATTGCAGATAATGATAACAGTTCTATTTGCTTGTTAATAGGCTGAATGTTTATCAGAAATCACTAACACAGCTGGTCCTGTAGATGCCAAGGAAGAACTCTTGGGTGAATGTGAGAGCATTTGGAAGCAGATGGAAGAGGTATGCAAATATAAATGATAGGCTAGGTTTATTATAAGCTTTTTCAGAATAATTTTATTCAACACATGCTGGCCCCACCCCTTCCAATATCACCACTTCTATTAAACCAAACCAACCAACCAAAAATCACAAACAAATAAAAAGGAAAGAAGGTCTTCAGAAAGGTCAAATGTAGAAGTGCTGTCAGGGGTGAAGAATACCTTGTAGTGTCAATGTGCTGATGTTATAGTTTAGTTAGTGTGGGGTGTTATGGTTTAAATAGTGTGGGAGTATATGTTAAAATTATGGAAAATCAAACAATTTACTTTTGCTGTGGTAGTACCAGCATACAGAGACCCTTCTCTCTTTATCCTCACAAAAGATGGGATTCCATTTCACAGGTCCTTTGGTCTTGGAGAGAGAGGCAGAGGAGGACAATGATGTGTTCTTTTGATACATGGTACAATATGCTAGCAAATAACAGTTTAGGGGAGGGTATTTTTATTTACAGGATTCCCAGAGAAGATAAACTTGTATCAATTCTTGGGGAATACTGTTCTTCCTTTAAGATTCTTCGGAATCTGATGAAAAGTTGTGTTCTAAATTATATTTTCAGAGTCTTTATTGCCTCACTCAATTTTTTTTTTTTTTTGTACTTACATAATATTTGTTTGGGTTCTGAGTTGTCGTTTCTAAACATTAAAATACCAGAAACTGAAGTAAAAGTATTTCAAAACTTAAAGTAGAAGAAAGTACAGACAACTCACAATGCATTAATTTTACACAAGTTGATTAAAAATTACTAAGGGTTTTATTTCTTGTTGAGTATTCAGGTAAGTTTGTATGTGGCAGGGAATTCTGTGTCTCAGTTTCTGAATTTTTGTTTGGCACCACGTTGGAGGACCTGAACTTTCTTAGAAATTTTCAAATTAGAAGGTAAATCTGAATGTTTACTATTTTGAATTGAATTGAAAATATTTGATATCTTGTATTTCATTCCCAGCATGCCCAAAATAATACAGGAAGTATTATTATATATTAATAACACATTATATTAATGTGTTATAATATTATATTAATAACACATCTATATAATAGATTATATATATTTTTGGAAGTTGATGAAAACAGTAGATATTTTATTATTTGGATTTTGTATCCTGGATGCACTCATGTTTTGGCAAACATAGTTACTTAATTAGCTTCGTGGTTATATGGTTATGTATAATGTTCCAATGATTGTGTGTCTTCACATACAGTTTTTGTGGGAGAAATCCAATACTGTGTTCTGGTAAGCAGACATTAACAGCAGGGTTTCCAAAGTACTGGTTAGTAGTTCAACTGCTTAGTAGAATACATCGTGCATTGTTATGGGGCAGGTTAAATTGGTGACAGTTAGGAAAAAAGAGTTTAGCAGGAGTCTCCTGTTTATGCCTTGGATATTTGTGATGGCCTGAATTTCAGACTTCATGTACACCCCATTGCAGTCATAAGCGCTGATGTAGTATACTCCCAAAAATCAGACCACTTCTGAACTGTACAGTATACTCCCTAAATTACTTAAAACTAAAAAGATGTATTATAATATGATTGCTCTCTTTGGAGAGCCAGAAGAGTAGCAGAATGTGTGTTAACTTCTCAGCAGCTTCTCTGTTCAGCCTTGTCCATGACTCTCTTTCCAGTTTCTCATGTTCTTCATCTGTTCAATGCCTTCCCATGTGTACTTTTCCTCATAACTTGCCTTTTTATTCACAGGATGCATCTTCCTTTAGCTGCTACTTTTCTCCTTCAGAGTTAAGATTAATTAAGTTAATTAATTAAGAGTAATTCACTGTGCTGATTTCAAAACATCTCTTAATTTGCTCTTCTGGTTTAGGGTATAAGGATGGAAGGATCCAAGTTAAAATCCTTTTATTCCTATATTTAAAAAGTTATGTTTAAATTTCTAAAAATTGTGTTTTGTTCATACAAAAGAGAAGAATAAACAAACTTTGTGTTTTATTTCTTTTCTACCAAGTGTCAGAGCAAGCTAATGCTTCTCGGAACAGAGACACTGCTACAATCAGACGCCAAGGTAAGACAGTGGGTTTTTAAAAATACTTTTCTGTTAAGACTGTAGAATCATAGAATGGCCTGGGTTAGAAAGGACCTTAAAGATGATCTAGTTGTAGCCCAGGCATAGAACCAGGGATGCCTTCCACTAGATCAGGTTGCTTGAAGTCCCATCCAACCTGGCCTGGAGCCGTTTTAGGGATAGGGCATCTGCAGCTTCACTGTTCCAGTGTCTCTGGGCTTATACAATAAAGAATTTCTTCCTAATATCTAATCTAAACCTGCCCTCTTTCATCTTAAAGGCCATTTCCCCTTTTCCTGTCACTACATGCACTTGTAAACTTCTTTATTTTAGGCCCCATTCAGGTACTGGAAGGTCCTGTAAGGTTTCCTTAGAGCCTTCTCCAGGCTGTGCAGCCACCATTCCCCTCACCTGTCTTTATAGGAGAGGTGTTCCAACCCGCCAGTCATCTCTGTGGTTCTCCTCCGGACTTACCTGGGCAAGTTCACATCCTTCTTATGTTGGGGACCCCAAGCTGGAGGCAGCACTCAAGGTGGGGTCTCACCAGAGCAGAGTGGAGGACAAAATCCCCTCCCCTGACCTGCTGGCCCTGCTGCATTTGATGCAGAGATTACAGTTGGCTTTTTGGACTGCAAGTGCATGTGTCCAACTTTTCATCCACCAGGATCCCATGGTCTTTCTTGGCAGAGCTGCTCTCAGTCAGCCTGTACTGATACTGGGGGTACCCTTGACCTAGGTGTAGGACCTTGTGTTTGGTCTTGTTGGACTTTGTAAGTTTCATACTAGTGCAGCTCTCCAGCCTGTCCAGGTCCCTCTGGATGCCATCCCTTCCCTCCAGTGCACTGACTGCCCCACACAGCCTGGTGCTGTCAGTGAACTTGCTGAGGGTGCCCTTGATCCCACTGTCCATGTCCCTTACAAAGATATACACAGTGCCCATCTCAGAAACAAGGCCTAAGGAATGCCACCTCATCACTAATCTCCACCTGGATGCTGAACTGTTGACTGCACTTCTGAGTGTGACCATCCAGCCAGATCCTTACCCACTGAGTGGTCTGTCTGCCAAATCTGTGTCTCTCCAGTTTAGTGACAAGCATGTTGTTCTTAACAGTGTCAAATGCTTTGCACAGCTCCCAAATAGATGACATCAGTAGTTCTTCCCCTATGCAACAATGCTGTAATTCTGTTAAAGGAGGCCCCACATTTGTCAGGCATGATTTGCCCTTAAAGTCATCTTGCTTAACACCAGTTGCCTATTAATTTTCCACATACCTTAGCAGAATTTCAGGGAGGATCTGCTTCATGGTCTTGCTGGACACAGAGGTGAGACTGACCAGTCTGTAGTTTCCAGATCTCCCTTTTTCTTTTCTTAATAATATGTTTTGTGTATCTCCTTTTCCAGTCAGTGGGATCTTCACCACACTGCCATGACTTTTCAAATATGGATAGTGGCTTTACCACTTCACTTGCCAGTTCCCTCAGGTGCATCTGTGGTGGGTTTGATCCTATTGGACATCTTAGCTGTTCATCACTCCCCTCCTCATCTGGACATCGAGATAAGAGAAAGATTTTTCTCTCACTAACTTTGAAAAATACAGATGATAAATGATTTACATAGGCAGCAAAATGGGAGGAGAATGGGGTGTAATTTCAATACCTTTTTAGACTTTTTCCTAATCAGCATGTATGTAATTTCTTCTTTTAAATATCATTGTTATGCTCACAGCATCCTTCTGGACATCTGTGCAGCTGTGGGATGAGCAGGTTCACAATGTGCTGGGTGAAGACCTGGCTGAAGGGCAGAGCTCAGCGGGGTGCAGTGACTGGGACTGCATCTGGCTGGTGACCAGCCACCAGCAGTGTTCCTCAGGGTGCAGCTCTAGGGCCAGCTCTGTTCCACGTGTTTATCAGTGGTCTGGATGAAGGGTTGGAATGCACCATCAGCAAGGTGGCTGATGACTACAAACTGGACGGTGCTGTGTGCTCTGGTCCCTCCAGTTGACACTGGAGGGACCAGAGGCCTTGCAGAGGGATCAAGCTAGCTTAGAACATTGGTCAATCCTCAGTGGCATGACATTTAATAACAAGAAAAAGAGCAGGAAAGGAGTGGCTGTTGGGCAGCCCTGCAGGAAGGGATCTGAGGATGCTGGTTGACAGCAGCTCAGGGTGAGGCCACAGTGTGCCCTGGCAGCCTGGAGGGCAAACGGCATCCCGGGAGCCTCGAGCATGGCACTGCCAGCCACAAGGGAGGGGATTATCCCATGTAGTCAGGGCTGTACAGGCTCACCTGTAGTGCTCAGTGCACTTCTGTGCCCCACAATTCAAGAAGGTTGTGAAGTCCTTGAGTGCATTCAGAGGAGGGCAACAAAGCTGATGAGAGGGCTGGAAGGCATGTCCTGTGAGGAACTGCTGAGGGCTTTGGGCTTCTCTACTTTGTAGGGAAGGAACTGGGGGGTGCCTTGATTCCTCTCTACAGCTTCCTCAGGGAATTTGAGAGGGAGATGCTGATAATCTTCTTCCTGATACCCAGTGATATTATGTTTGGGAATGGTTCAGAGATGACATTAGAAAGCATTTCTTTGCCTATGTGAACCTTCCTCTGAAGGACCTTCACAATACTACCAACTCTGACTCCTTCTCATTTCCCCCTTTTGAACAAATAATAGAAATATTTCTTGATCCCTGTGAGTGACTGTAAGGAACTGTAAGGAAATTTTGAAGGAACTAGTGTTCTACTGTAATAGATGCTCTCTTGTCTTCTGCTGTATCAACTTAATAAACTGAATTTCTCTTCCATTCTACCTCATTTTATGCCAGTGCAACTCAATACATTTAAAGAAATGCTTCTTTTCTTGTTATACAGCTTTCCTTGTTAATGCTGCGATGGAAAGCTTTAACTGTAGATTCTCGTCAATGGCAAGTGAGAAATCCTGAAAGTAAGTAACTGTTTCCTTGTAAAGAATGCTTATATAAACTTCTGCAAAGTTTCTTTTATCTAGGCTGTGAGTATATTGAATGTCTGTTGATTGTATTTTCATTCCATAACTACTTAAAAATCAAAATAAATGTAAATGCTACTTTAAAAAGTAGCATGTATGTCTCATTTCTTCATTATTTTTTGCACTTCAGTTCTAAGTTGACTTGAAATTAAAAATTAATTCCACTATAACTTAATCCCGTAATTCTGGACAAACAAATGCGTGATTCATACCACCATTCATCAGTCAGTTAAATGGAAAAACAACTATTAGTGGATCTGCTAAGCAAATAAGAGAAGTTCATTATCCTGTTATCCTCCTTCATATTCTTTTCTGTGTGATTGTTTTTTCTCCATCTTTTATTTTTATTTCCTTTTTAGAACAGAAATACTTTGGCAAATAATATTGTCTTTATTTTGTCTTTTAAGAAGCTGATACATTAACCGTTCATCTTCTGATTATTTTTTATTAATATTTTACAAAGCTGTGTTGTATTATGATGTGCTAGTTGAAACTTCAAAATAAACTTTCTGTGCTAAGCCCTTTACACTGTAGTAAAATACATATTTTGAACTAACAGGAATTGGAGATTTCAAGTCAAGATAAAGTGGTAATAGACTCTAGGATTTTTAAACAACATAGTCATCCAGAACACTTACTGATCCTGAGAAGCACAAAGCACTGAGACTTGTGGTAGTTCTTATATTTCTTAGGCATTATCAGTCAAAAGGTATAAATTCTTCAGTTCTTTAAAATTCTCATTGTACATAAGTACCACTGCTGACAGATTTCACTCTCTTGCAAGAGATGTGGCTGATATGGCACTGGATATAAAAGCATTCAGGATCTAAGTGTGAGTAATCTTTTTTTCAGATGTCTCATACAGAAACTCCTAAAACAGTTCACACTACTGTCATTAATATTCTGGTAATACTCCTGGTTATGTCTCCTATCAAGGACTTGTTAGCACCTGTAAATCCAGTAAAACTTCTAGTTAATGTTTAAATTGATATATTGACTCATTTGAATATTTTTATGCCAGTAGCGGCTTGGTTCTGTAGTATTTGCAAAATTATAGGAATGTATTTTAGACAGCACTTGGTGATTTCCAATGATTTGTCATTTAGCCAAATGGAAATGCCTTTTCAGATCAGCATTCAGATTCAGAGGCAGTTCTCCAACTTTTTTTTAAGTCAATGTATTTGCTGTATCTCATTAAATTGGGAAAAAATATTTTTTCTTTCTTATAAATAGATACTGTTGCTCTATTAGAATAAATTCATAGTTCAGTGTTGTAAGCCTCACTCCAAGAACTGTCAGCCTCCAGTGCTTCTGAGGTATGTAGACCAAAGGCATGTCATTGAATGAATTTGGAACATACTGGTTCCTGGCTGCTGTTCATGAATAAGCCTCTAGCTTAAAGCAGATTAATTGAAAGAACTTAGTTTTTATCTGGGTAAAATACCTGAGGCTGTTAGATTTCCGTACTAAAATATGTATATTAAACTTCAAGCTATTGGCTTAAAAATATCCTTGGCCTATTTTTTTGGCTTGCTGACTTGCTTTGTTCAACCATTCTTAGTTCTTCCCAGATGATAATATTTCTTAATAGAAATCTTATTTTTGTAATAGAGAAATAAACTATTTATAATTAATACTTTACAGCAAAGTCTCTGCCTTTCTTGGCTCCCTTTCCAGTGGAAGAAAAAGTTGCTGCTAAGAATTTGAAGAGTTATGGTGCTTGTATGAAAATGAGGAGTCCACTTTGCTTACTTCTCTGTCTTGGCTTCTTTCTACCTACTATTTGTTTTGAAGGAGGAATTACTTAATTGAAAACATTGTCTGATTTTATCTAAACACAAATAGCAGAAATATTGATTTAATACAATTTACTAATAGAGCATGAATGTCAGGCTGTTTTGTTACTTTGTTTTTTGCTTTTAGTAATGGCCAGTTCATTTCCTGTAAATGAGGACCTGTCAGCATTTCAATCTTAAAACTTATTTTCAGAGGTTACAACTTGGCAGTTCTACATTTTTTTGAGCACAATATTGGCAAAAAGGCTTGAATTCACAATGCAAATTTTATTTTTGCAGAGCTTTTACTTCACTCTCCTTTTCTTTCTCAATTCCTGATATTATTTATGTAGTTCTAGATCTGCTAAATCAGCTGAATTAAAACTTTTTAGAAAGCATTTGGCTTATAGAAATAAAATTTAACTTGTACCTTTGCAAAATCAGGAAGTGAAAGCAACCATATTTTAAACCATTTCAAACAGTTGTGGTCTCCGCATAATTTCTGTTTTACTTTGCAAAATAGCAGTATTCTGCCAAATACCTTTTTGTTTTATTTTAATATGAGTTTCTGTATAAACATGTGCATAGTAGTTGCTTTTATATTCCTAACATCTGGTAGTATTTTTCGTAGTAATTGTACTTTGTATCACTAGACAATTCTGTCTGACATTTGATTTTTGCAAGTGTTGAGATTTTACAACTGAAAGATTTAATTAATAGTGGATTGAGCAACCAGTGAATTTACAGCAGCAGCTGGCATAAGTGTGTTTTCCCAGTGCTTTAGATCTGCATTGTTTTTTCACTAAATTATCGTTAGTGATTTCTTTCCCAGGAAGACAGGGCCTTCTATTCTGATACACAATATGAACACTGAATGGCAAGCATGAACTCAGGATTAGGTATCTAGAAATAAGGGTGTGTTATGAGGCCATTGCAAAAAGTTGATAATAATTGGTAAGGGAGGGCTTATAAAGATCATGTCAGCAGGAAGTGTCAGGGGGAAGAATTGTATGGGTTTTTTTAAAATACGCCAGTGAATGCAAATAAAAGTGCACCAATTAATTTTATCATGTGTTGGTAGGACATTCATGTAAATAAAGAAATCTTACTCTAATAAAGCACAGACCACTATTTCCCACAGCTCTTAAGCTTAATTGGGAGCACAGTACTCAGATTTTGTGTTAAGATTTAGAAACAGTAATTCTCCAAGTAAATGGAATTTTATTGAAAAATGGATTACTTTATTTTATTTTATTTAATTTTTAACTCAGCAGTTTTTCTAGTTTTCATCTCAGAACAAACAGTGCTTTTAAAACTACTAATCTAATGCTTCTTAAATTTTTTTAAATTAAGTACTGTAACATTACCAAAGGAAGAACTTTTCTGAATTTAGTAAATGAACTATGTGTATTTAGAAGATGTTTAATGCTGTCGTGAGAGGATTAAGGATTTCCTTTTTGCTAAAGGAATTTTTTATTTAAATAACTATTTGTAAGATAAAGTAAATAAATATTTTTAAGATTTCAAGCCAAAACTTGCACAAAAAAAATACGTTTTACAAAGATTTAATCTGTTAGAAGAGTTTTCATTTCTCCTGTTAATGTATTGAAATAGTTCCAAAAAGTCCTATGTTTATGCAGAAGCGGCAAGTTGACATGGATCTGAGAATTGCCTGGAGTCTGTTGAATGCTGTAAAAGACAAGAATTCAGTTTTTATTCTGAAAATGCATGAGTCATAAATCACTGCATTTTGTAGAAGCATTCTGGGGAAACATTTTCATCTTCTTGAATTGTACTTTGCTTTCACTTAGGTATTGTTGTTGCACAGTGTTTTGAGTTAGGATATTGGCCTTTCTAGGCCATTCGTCTCCCTAAATATAGCTGTTCTTTTGAACAGTAAGGATGGTCACATGCTTCTGAAGTTATTAAGACTAGGTTCTATAGTCTTGATCAAGCATTTGGGTGGCTGTTTAACAAGGAATTGGAAGACTGGAAGAATTTGATTGCCAAATTCAATCAACATTGGTAATGTTGATTGAATGCCTTCTGCTGAAAATATCAGGCTCAGTTGTCTTGAAGTGTATAGAAATGTGATCATTCATTATGCACCTACACCAGTGTACTTGGAGCTAGTTCAGCTATAAAAAATGACACACAAGCATTAATTAACACTGCACTTTTTTCAGTCTAATTTAACTCGCTGAATAGTGATAGTAGGTTAGCTCAGCAGGACACCAGCATGTGGTTAAACTGCTACTGAGACCCAAGCTGTTTTTCAGAAAGTACACAAATTTTTCCCTAGCCAGGGTGCTTTTCAGTATTGATAAATCTTTATCATCCAGTGCAAAAAATAACCAATTCATTTTATCTTTCAGTCATTTCTACCAATCCAGATGCTCTGTTAGAATTAGGAAAAGAAGAGGTAAGTCTTTTTGTTTGTAAGAGATAATAAAATTTTGTTGGGTAAAAAAGAAAAGCAATCTATTAAATTGCTGCATTTTCCTGTGACTGGTCCTAGGGCAGACTTCTGCTAAAATGCTGTGTATTTTCCTTCAGCCATTTATGTTGTTTCAATGCTTTTTTTTTTTCCACTGTAGTATAACTAGTAAAATTTCCTAATGAGTGAGGTTTTAAACTGACTTTTTGGACAAGTCAGTGAGTAACACACAATAAACAGTATTTTTCCTCTGGACACACCATCTAATCACAGTAGCTCAACAAACTTATCTGCATGCAATAAAAATTATGTGATAATCAACATCCCTGCTACATTAATGCTCCGAGACCTCACTTGGGATCAGAGTCCATTGTGCTGGGAGACTGGAGACAGATATCTTGTGCCAGGGAGACTGGTGACTGTGCCTTGCAAAGATTTAGCCATCATCTTTAACATGCAACAAGGCCCATTTCTAGGGCTGAAGCCTACTCACTGTACTTTTGAAGACTGCTTTCATTTAACATTGCATAAGTGCTTGGGTAAGAAAATCCACTCCAAATTGTGTTTTCAGGATGATCTGTGGCTGAATTTTAAGTGCTAAGTGGAATTTGTCACAGAATGTCTGGAGTTAGAAGGGACCTCTGGAGATAGAATCATAGAATAGTTTAGGTTGGAAAAGTCCACTAGGATGATCAAGTCCAACCGTCCAAATCCACCACTAAACCCTGCCCCTAAGTGCCTCACAGGATTGTTTTGAGGTGGCTTTTGAATATCTTCAAAGAAGGACACTCCACAGCCTCTCTGGACAACCTGTTCCAGTGCTGAGTCACCCTCCAATAAAGCAGTTTTTCCTAATTTTCGGATGGAATTTCCTGTGTTTGATTTTGTGCCTGTTGCCCCTTGTCCTGTCACTTGGCACCACTGAAAAGACCCTATCCTCTGATGGCTGCCTTTCGAGATATTTGTATGTGTTTTTAAGCAAAACCTTGTAATACATTGCATTCCATACTTGATAGAAAATTATGTAATACTATGTGTTACACGGAAGAGTCATTTATCTTAGACATTGAGTTCTGTGGCAATAATTTGCAAATGGTTTGTTGAGTTTCCTCCATTGGAAGAAAGAGCAAATCAAGAATGTCTTGTGGGTAACATTACACTGTTTTGATGCGACATAGGAATGCTACATGATGTGAGGATATTCTTGTGTCTAATGCCTTCTAGTATGCCTCACAACAGCAAACCTGACTGCTGTTAAAAGTCACTATCAAAAAACTGTTAGGTTACACACTTTGATTTGTCTGTATGGCTATAGCATGTTGGTCTGATATTTGAGGATACCAGTTTTTTTCGGATGAAGTATATATGGAGCATATTTGCTTCTGTAGCATATTTTCAGAATTTGTATTTCTTTGAGCTAAATTCTCAAGTGCTCTTACTTTGTATGGAAGCAGAAAAAATACATCCATATCATAGGCTTATATAGAAAACTTTATTTTGTAGAAGACCATAGTGTTTTCACAAGGGACCTCATCAATTTATACAAGTATCTGAAGAGAATGGAGCCAGGCTCTTGGTGATGCCAAGCAATAGGACAAGACACAGTGATGTGCACAAGAACACAAGGAAGAGCTTCTGTACTGTGCACTGGAACAGATTGCCCAGAGAGGTTGTGGAGTCTCCCTCACTGGAGTTTCTCAAAAACTGTCTGGATGCAACCTGTGCCATGTACTCTTGGATAACCCCTGCCTGAATAGGGAGGTTGGACCACTCTGGTCTCTCACAATGGTTAAGGAAACTTCCCTATCCAACAATCCAGGAGCCACGGTGTCATTCACTTAGCCCATTTGCAGCTACACATCCCATACTCACACAGATCAGGTTTCCTTACCAGCTCAACCCTAGGTTTCCTTCTTCCCTTAGGCTCATACATCACACTCCTTAAAAGAATTTAATCATGGCATAATAATAGAAAAACAGCTTGAGGTGCGTGCCTCTGAGGAGGAACCCAGAACAAAGGAATTTTATACCCTCAAAACCAAAAGGCTTTTATACTCTCACAGTGTAAACAAAGGAAAGTCCAGGCATCATCAGCTGTTCCCATGTCTTAATGTCCCCTCACCTGTCAAGGCCACAGGTCCCTGAGCCCCTTGCTTTGCAAAGGGTTGGCACTTCATGGCCTCTTGCATGGGGCTCTTGCCAGAGCTCAACTCATAACACAACCTGCAACTCTCACTGCAGCTGCACCCCAAGTTACCTGCACCCGATGTATTCCTCAACACAACCTTACCCGTTCTATGATTCTATAATGAAAGATCCATTGAGAGTTGCCTAGATTCAGCAATGCCGATAGCTTCTGACTGCAGTAGTTTTATTTCTCCATCTTTCCTGTCCCAGATATGTCCATAGCATTGAGGATCATTTAATTTATGGATGTGGTTAGTCTGTCTTTGATGCATCTTCATTTTCTGTACATTTTATGTGGTACAAGTAGCATGGATTCATTCTTGCCAGCAGCTGCAGGAATTTAGACAATTGAGCCCTGGTGCTGTAGACATTTCCTTCTCAGTCGTTTGTCAGCTGAGCAGTTCATGTGTGCTCCACAATCTGCTTCAGGTAAAATGAAGTATTTTGTTACGCTCTGTGAGCTTCAAGAAGACACTAATGAGCAATTGGTTGTGGTGACATTTTTAATACCTCCTGCATTTTAAACAGGATTTTGATATTTATAAAGAAATTGCAGATGCTTTTGTCCTTCTTTATCAGATTTACAGATGTAGTCTTATGTAGAACAAATATTACAGCCTGGGATACCTACAAACAGTAGTTTAATTTCTTTTTATTCTTTCATAGTTGCAGAAGGTAAAAAATGATCTTGAAATGGTCCTGTCAGCAGTTCGGTCAAAGAATAAACAACTGGAAGAAGATCTAAAAAGGTAATACAATAATTTGGACTTTGGAATGCTGTAAGCTTTTTTCTTATAACTGCCCAGGGAAACTATTTATCTGTTGTACCATTTCCTACTTTTCATGTTTCAAAGAGAACAGCAGTGGTATGAGGAACAGAAACAGATGCTAGATACTCTTAATAAAATTGAAGAAGAGGCAAATATCCAAGTTGAACAACCTTCCACAAAAAGGTATTTCTACATTCTTGAATTATAAATTGAAGAATTTAAATATCAAGAGGAGCAAATAAGCAAGCAAACTCTTAAAATGTATTCCATGTTTTGTTAATAGATCAAATAATTGCTTAGTAATACATATTTGAAACATGAAGATTATGCTGCTGTATCCTGTGATTAAAGATGTTGAATTTCTAACAATAGATAATGAGGTTGTTTTTTTTACTTATGAAGGACTTTTTAGTTACTTGATTTGATCCCTTGTTCTATTGCTATGTTTTTACTGTTAGTTTGAAAGTGAGAGAGTTCAACGAACTGAAAAGTAAAGTACTGAAATTAAAGACCTATAAGAAAAAACTCTTGAGTGCTTTGGGTGAATTCCTGGGTGAACACTTTCCCCTTCCAGAGAAAGATGAAAATATTGAAAACAAGGTAAGACTTTACTTTATCTACTAAATTTGAAATGTTCAATTTATATTTAATTAGAGGCAATATCTGTTTAAAGTCACTGCCATTGAACCTGCAGTTGTATTTTGAAATAAGCGTATTTTTTTACAGCTGATCCTCTAGGTTTAATTTATATTTTCCAGGTTGTTTTATGTTATTTAACGCTGTTTTCAGCTATATATTTTATTTTCCTAATGCATATATCTTTTACCCAATGAGATGCATAGCAATATATTGTATTTCTCACTGAACTGCAAGCTGTGCCAAATTCAGAAATAGTGCGGGGTTCAGTCCAAATTGGCTCTTTTTTTTTTATTTTTTTTTTTTTTAACTTGACTGGGCAAGTGGATTCTTATTTTCCTTGGCAAAGCAAATTTTAGTTGTCTAACAATGTTTTTGGAACAATAAGGAAAAGTGTTTATAATTACAGAGTAGTTTGGAATGTTAACCATCATATTTTGTTCAGGCAAACTGGGTTAAAAATTATCTTAGAACTTCAGGGAAAATAGGCAGCCAGGGAGTATTTTGCTTAATAAATTCAAAGTGTGCAGTAAAAATAAAATGATTACCATTACTATTTCATAGATACAAAAAAAGCTATGAAAAAAGGCAGGTTTTGATTTTTCTTTCAGGCACACTTAATATTACAGAACTAGAAATTATTTCTTTAGTCCAGTTCCCTGTTATTTCAGGTAAACAGGTAATATAATTTCTTCAGTACTATCACTGAGCTCCATTTTAAAACAAATAATTTTTTTTAGTACTGTTTCTCCTGTGTTTTTTTTTCTTTTAGTACCTCAGTACAGTGGTTAGAAGCTGTCTCATAGCTTCCAGCTTTATCCATGTCTAATACAGATTCTTACACCAGAATTTTCCTTAGAATAGCTGATTGTTTCTTGTGTTCATTCCTCCTGATATATTTATGGCAGCAATCTCATGTCCTCTCTTTTTTTTTTGCTAATTGAGCTAGCAATGCCTTTATGTTCTCCTATAAGATAGTATTTTTCAATTCCCTAGCTTATCCTAGTAATACCCATTATCTATGTTTGTTTTCATTTGGATTAATCTGTTTTGCAACCTGCTAAGAAACAATATTATAAATAAAACTACTAGTTCACACCCATCATCAAAGCAACAAATTACACCCCTGTCTTTTTCTGTCTAATTTGTAGCTAATGAATCCTGATCTTTTAAGTAAAAAAAAAATCTTTTGTTTTGCACAGAAGCACATATTTTGCACATAAAAATATCAAGTGGAAATGTCAAGACTCAATGTTCAAAGTATTATTCAAGTGTCTTATTTTGTTGAATCTTAGTTTTTCTGTATACCAATGCCTTCCTTTCCTGCTGTTAGTAGATATGACAGATTTTGCTCTCAGTCTCTCCATTTTAGAAACAATCTCATGTGGGACAATGTCAAATGCTTTGGACAAGTCCAGGTAGATGACATAATTTGTTCTTCCTTTTCCACAAATACTGTAACTCTGTTGTAGAAGGCTACTAAATTCGTGGGGTACAAATGGTCTATTATGATGGCTGTCACCAATCATTTTCTTAAACAAAAAACCACTTTGATTAATTTCAACACAAGGTTTTATCTTTCCTTAGCTTAAGTTTTATTTATGCATTTCCTGAACTCTTAAACAGTCTGTTTTCTGACAAATGTTTTTCTGTCTTTTCACTCTTTGTGAATTCATAGCTTTTCTGTATCTTTTGACTCACTTGGATCATTTGGCTTAACTACAGATACCTACTAATCTGCATCTAAGTAATTGACTGTGAAGGCAAGACAGCCAGCCATTTTTGCCTACATTTATTGAGCGTCAGAAATACAAATTGTAATCACTGGCATTGAAATTTGCTGCTATGTTGATTGAGGAGAACACATTATTCAATTCTGTTATCAGCTTAGCTCAACAGTCTAGCCAGCACCAAGCTCTTAACCCTGCACATCAGTAATTTTGCTTCACTTCGTGGAAGCTCTTGTGTTCACAGTGATTCTGTGCGAGGGCAAATGTGCAGGGTTGATGTCTGCAGGACATGGCTTCCACATAATTTAAACTGCTCCAAGCCTCAGTGGTCTGGTTCCACCCTCCTTTCACCTGGTGACATGCATGTGGGATTGGAAGTGGGAGTGCAGATCACAACAGCTCAGGTTGGCTTCCATTGCCATGGCTTAACATCTTTAGTATAGATAGTGACTGTAGTAACAATTATCTTACATTTTAAATCCAGGAAAAACATCAACTTCCTTTTTCAGGATAATAATATGAAAAATCAGAGGCTGAGGAATATTCTTTATGCAAATTTGTCTGATTGGAAGGGTGAAGAAGGTGCCTTTCAGGCTAAACAATGAAATGCTGAGCATCTTGCTTAATGACTTAAGTGATTAGCAGTACTTATTGTATTAGTAGTAATTTTGACCAGGGAACTATATCAGCAGAACTTGTGAAGTACCTTCATGTTTGCTCTAAGGAACTTTTTGCAGATAGGTAATGCAGATTCTACTTTCTCAGCTGAGTATCAAGATAAAGGCACATAGATGTTGGGCCATAGCTCCAGGATTTGCAGAGTTTTCATGGAGCTGGCTCTCCTTGGGAACTGAAACTTTTGAGTCTCTGCAGACTATTACAAACTGTGACTGGAAAAAAGGGTCCAGAATTTGCCTTTCACATATTCTTCTTTCTTGCTTGTGTTCTTCCTCTTTTCCAGAAGTGGAGTTTGCATAAAGTGCTGCACACCTGTTAGTATCTTAGGACTAAAATTGATATATTCAACAGCAATACTGAGAAAGCCAGTGGAATATTATCTCCTTTATTTTGTTGAAGCTGAAGTGCATGGGGAAAATGTAAAACTGGAAAATTAAAGAATCAAGTTTACTGTGCAACAGTACAAATAGATCCTCTGGCATTGCTGCCAAAGGAATCTCTATAGACAAATGGCTTGATTTGCTTGCTACAAAGGAAAACAAGTAATCTTCTAGTAAGAAGATCTTCTAGTAATTAATCTTTATCATTGCCTTTTTTTCCACCAAAATGTTTAATTATTCTATTTCTTAATCTTGATAAGATAAATTTTTTAGTTGAATTCAAAGCAAGTAAGTATTCACTGTCAAATCATGAAAAAATATTAGGCTATGAATGAAGTTTTGAGTTGTGTCAAATTTGTATTATAAACATTTATTTAAAGCTCATGGAAAACATCTTTTCCTCTAACAAATCTTGTTCATAGGAGGTTCTGTACTACGTTACAAGTGTGATGTATTTGGTTTTATTTAAATGTAAACACAGGTAAAAAAATTATGATCACTTTAGATTAATCTCTCTTGATAATTCAAAAAGTATTACATTTGAAGTGTAGGATTTTGAGCTGATAGATTTAAATGTTACCTTGTATTTCTGTTGGGACTAAATCTACGTAAAAGTTTTCATCTATTGTGTACTATGCCATCAAATAATTGCGTAATTATTTTATTTTGTCAATTAACATTTTTCCTGACTAGTTTGGGGTTTTGTTAATTTGGCTGGGGGATGGTTATCTTTCCAGAACCCATCTTCAGAGAAAGTTGTAGAACTGATAACATTGCAAGACATTTTAGAGGTAAGATGCTTTTACTATGTAGAGATTTGAGGAATTTTTAAATATTCAGATGTAATGATAATGATGGTAATCATAAAGTATTTAATAAAAATAACAGTATGTGGAATTCAGTTAAGACAGTTAATGTAGAATCATTAAGAATGTTGTGTCTACGAGAAGGCTGCAGGGAGACTTCATTGCAGCCTTCTGGTACTAAAAGTGGTTTATAAAAAGATGGAGAGTAATTTTTTTGCATGGGTAAAGAGTTTTAAATTAAAAGAATAGATATTTAGATTAGCTGTCAAGAAAAAATTCTTTACTGTGAGGGTGGTGATGCTCTGAACAGTGGTTGCCCAGAGAAGCTGTGGATGCCCCATCCCTGGAGATGTTCAAGGCCAGGTTGGATGGGGCTTTGAGCAATCTGGTCTAGTGGAAGGTTTCCCTGCCTATGGTATGGGGTTTGGAATGAGATGATCTTTAAGGTTTGTTCCAACCCAAACCATTCTATGAATCTAGGTCAGTTTTCTGTTTTAATTCCTATCAAATGAAGCCACAAAATTTTAAAAGAGGTATGGCAATAATGTTCAGTTAGGCTGGAGAACAGCTGTCTATTATTTCTTGATTTTACAGTGTTTAGTTCAAAGAAGTTTTATGTGGCTTAGTGGCTCATGTTAGGAGAGACAAACACTAGGTTTAACAAAAAAAATTGGCCCACTTTATGCTCTATTTTATACTGTTTCAAGAAAAATGTTTCTGAAATATACATTAACAGAAGGACTAATTACTATGTAGCTTCAGAAGGAACAATAGTCTTATGCATTAACTGGATTATTTACTCATACAAGGAAATCAATTAATTTGATTCATGCATTTCTAATTGATTTTATAAGTATACAAGCATTGCTTAGCATGAATTTTTAATTACAGTGAAATTAGTGAATGTGAATTACAAAGCATAATTTTCCTTCTTGTCTTAAATGTAGCATTTGAAGGGAAATTTTCTGTTCCCCCTCCTCAGATAGTTCTAGACTTCTATATGTAAAATGTCTCTAGGGAAATTTTTTTTTCTTGAGGAAAAATGTGATGTAAAAAAACTTTCTGGTATTAAGGTGCTGTTATCTAATCACTATGACATTGTACTATAGTTTAAATCCTGGGCTTTGGGCTTACATCACCAAATATTTTTACAAGCTTCAAATGTATGCTTCTCAGCACACCTGTTAATGCCAAATTAGGCAGATCTTGAAAACAGATGAGAATTTAGAGTAGCCACAGCCCTTATGGAACAAGAATTTTGAAGTTCTTCTAATGCTTTAAAATTGCCCTTCATATTTTTCTGATATTGTTAATCTCCTGAAAATGTGAACATACTCATGTAATATCTGACTTCTGTTAGGAAGAACACACTATTTGAAAAATTCAGACTAATTTTGAATTTCAACATCCTACCTAAAGTGTCAATGTCCCTTATCTTTGTATTCTGGAAGGTTTTTCTTTCTTGAGTCATATTGTTCTAGCTTCAAGTCCCTGTTAAATTTGAAAAATGTTTTCTGAGATACAGATAAAGTTACAGCCATAAAGGCTATTTTGGAATATCAGATGTCAGAACAAACTAAGTAAAATTTGTCTAGAATAATGCATTTGGAGTAAATTCTTAGAATTGGAAGTACAGAAGATATTAAATGGAAAAATTCTTCTTCAGAATGTTCTGAAGAAGAGCAGTTGTTTGAGTCTTTTATTAGTAGCAGTGGGTGCAAAAGATATAAAATATGGTAGTAAGGATTTTGAATTTGTCTTTAGCATTAAGGGGCAAGCATTATTTTGTACTTACTGAAATTTGGACAGTATAACATTTAAAAGATCTGAGTAGAAAGATTACATATCTAGGTCAAATAGAAGGAGCACCATGGGATGACTAAGATTATTTAATCTGTAATGTGTGCAGTACTCCCCATGAGCAATATCATGAGGGCACAATCATGATCTCTATGGACTAAAAAAGAGTTACAAAACTGATGTTGTTTTTAACTCCTATTAATTAATTCTATATTTAGATACACCATTTATAATAAATATAATAAATCTACATTTATTCAAGAAAAAAAGAGGATTCTAGTTCTAATTTTTATATCACAAAAGATATTATGAAGTTAGTTGGAAGTCCTTTGTTTACTTCTACTTTGATGAGGTCTTATATTACTTCTGTAGTCCTTTATTTCTTATATTGCCTACATCACAGTAATTTGTATAAATTTGGTTAAAGGAGATAAAAATCTAGCTGTTTTGTTAATTTCCTAAATCTTATCCCTCTGGTCTTCCAGATGCTGATAAACAAATTAATGACCACACCACATGAACCTTACATAACAATCAATGAGTCATTTTGGCCACCTTATATTGAGCTGCTGCTGCGATGTGGAATGGCCCTGAGACATCCAAAAGATCCAAACAGAATGCGCCTCCAAGCTTTTCACAAGTAGTGTGACTTACAAGTGCACACATGAAAAAAAAACCAACACCAGTGCTCTTGGGCTAAAATTCAGGGCTAGGATATACTTAGTTTCATACTAAGCTTTCTTAGTATCAATGATCACATCTTGTTGGATTTTTTTTCTTTTTTATTGAAGTGGATTTTTAAAAGCATGTTATTTGGAAATAGGAAAAATCTATTTTAACTGCTTACAGTTGGCCTTCAGTGTCATATCAAGATTTGCATTGTGGAAGGTTTTTTTAACTGCTTCTAAGTAAGATAGATGCCAATTAATGTAATAGACAAAATCTTTTTGTTTTAACAGTCCTTTTAATTTTAAAAATCATACTTTATACATTACTTTTATGGCTTAGATTTCTTAGCCTGCCTGAAGTTGTCTCAGTTTCCTTTAGTATTTTCTTGTACATTGTAAAGGCAGAATTCAGAATAATATCACTCCTCCTGTGCATGGCCTTGCAAACATTTGGAACTAACAGACAGTTATCCTCTTAAGAAATGTGTTATGCCTTGTTTGTTTCTCGGAGCCTTGGCAAACACTTTTATTGGCTCCAAGATAAACAGTTAGGAAACCTGACACATCTTTCTGTGCGAAGTGTAGCAGATGTCGAGTCTGTGCCTTTCACTGCATGCTTCCCAAATGGACCATTTTGTTTGCATTTTGCTTTGTTTACTATATTGCCTTACAGTATCTGTCTTCACTTTTTCAGACTTGGTTTATTAGGCTTTTAATGGATCTCTGTTCTGTTCATCTCTACAGCTTCTAAATTATGTCAGTTGAGAGTTACCTTCCTACTCGATGCTGGCATTCTGTGTAATCTGTCTTTTCTGCAGGCATTGTTATCGTATTGTATTGAGTACAAAAATTCTACTCTTGCATATCTGTAGTGACTAAAACTTTGGAAAAGAAAGTTTGTCCTTTATTAACCAGAGTGTGGTTTATTGAGGGAGGAATTTTGATGATTTTTCAATAGATGGAAAAATAAAGAGCTAGTATACTATCACAGAATGTTTTTGTATGATGATTTTTAGAGTGGTATTTATGTGATTTGATGTGGTGACTTGTAAAGATGATTTAAGGACACATGGGAGAGGTAAGGGGGACCAATATCATGTAAGTTCCAGTATAATTGTCCAGTATAAATGTTAATTATAATTAATTATAATTAAATGATAAGCAAAAAAAAAAAATCATTCATCTTGTGTAATTTTGGGTGAATGCTGTTCATTTTACCCTCACAACTGGTGATTAAGCATGAATATAGACTGGTGTGTGCTGTTGTGCATGAACATTGACTTCTTTTTGGTTCATATTGCTTGTGTAACTACCCTCCTGTTGTGGTTTAACCTCTCTTATTCACTTATGAGCTCTAGTGTCTTACTAATCTATGCACATTCACCTTACAGTATTTTTAACTAAGAATTCAAATAACTACATTTTTTGGCTTAGATTTATAGCATTGTCTCTTTAGGTTTTTTTCTCTTCATTTGTGTTTAAATGCTTTGTATTCTGCTATCCTTTCACCTTATTATTAGTACTGCTCAAGTACTTCATTGATGCTGGATGACTGCTTCTGTCATGACACTGGTAAGTAGAAGAAAAAATGTTAAACACGCAGTAGCCTCTTGTGTTTAAAAAGAAGAACAATACCAGCCCATACTACTTGCCTCCCAAACCAAAGCACCGAGGAGATAGGATAGTCTATAAACAAGTGCTCTGAAGAAGATGCAATATTCATTATTTTTCATATCAAAATCAAACCTCATCCAAGTAAAATACCAGAAAAATTTAAATGAAAGTATGTCACAAAAAGCTTTACATGAAATTATAAAACTCACTGCCATAAAATATGTTGTAAGATTACATATAAACTTGCAAAAAAAGCTCATAGAAATCAGATTTCTGAGTAGTCATTACAGAAAATTGTCAGCCAGCAGGTTCAGAATCTATCCTACTAACAGTTGGACCCTGAGGAGATACACATAGATATTCCCTGATATCCCCCTGCAGCTCCACAGTATTTTCTGCATTCTCTGAAGCCTTTCTGCTTAGGCCCTGGATATGCTCAGAACCCAAAGGTTCAGTGTAGAGCTTTTTCCTCAGGGTTGATTGAATCAGTACAGCAGAAGAAAAGCTGAAGGGAGACATAATCCATTTTCTCTCAGCCAAAAATGCATTGCCAGTTTTTAAGAGAACCTGGTTTAGACTGAAACAGAGCTAGCCGAAAACTGTAGCTCCTAGAAAAATCCTGGCAAGTAAATTGAAGAAAATCAAGGCAGTGATGAAGAACAGAGATTCCTTTTGAAAAAAGCTAGGAGTAAACTCTTTCATTGGTACTTTCAACAATCAAGAAGGTTGGGGAGTATGTTGAAAGAGTAGGGTAATGTTTCCATTTTTTTCTCTCTGTGTGCATCTAAGTAACAGTTGTTTGTTTGGAATTAACACCTCTATTAAATGCTAATACTGGGACTCTGCATTCTATGAAATAAGGATTTGTTTAGCTTACTGTCAATTTTTAACTCTAAAAAGGTAAAATAACAAAAAGACATGATATTAAATTGAGAGCTACCAAGCCTGAGTAAGATGACAAACTGATCTTTGAGCTGGTAGTCCTTGTGGCCAGGAAGGCCCATGGTATCCTGGGTGGAATAGGAAGAGCAGTGCCAGCAAGTAGAAGGTCATCTTGCCAGTCTGCCTGTGCCTTTGCTTCTTTCCCTTTACTTGACCAGCAGTTCCCACCCAGCCATACCTGTCTAGAGAGAATCAGGCCTCTTGGTAAACTTAATCTGTGTATTGTAAGAGGTCAAGACAGATGTCATGACAAGAATCTGAAAAAGGACAGATGTCTTTGATCTCAGTCATTACTTAGTAAAGGAAGTGCTGTACTTGGCTAGGTCTATTTGATTAGGCCCATATCTCTGGAATACTGGCGCTGCTTTGAAACCTGTCACAGCTCTGCCTTGGCACCAGATAAGCAGGTAGCTTCTCCATCTAGCACATACCATATTCTCCTAGTATGGAGCTGGTGGTTTTAGTATGGTTAAGAGCAAGATGTCACAACTGTGTCACCAGCCAGGACATAATTCACGGATGAACAGTCACCTGCTCAATCAGAGTCCTTGGGGACTGGTGCTTTCTGCTGTGACTGCTTCAGTAGAAAATCTCACCCCAAGGGGGAATTACTTGCCATTCAGATTTGGTGTGATCTAGATATCATTTGATCATTTAATATCATAGACTGGCATTTACATGAAGAAGAAATAAATTACTCATTATATAGTAATGATTATTCTGGAATTTGCATGCTGTGCAGAGCCCCTGATTCTTGCTTTTTGGAATACATCAGTACAGCAAACTTCTTATTGCAAGGAAATTGATCTAGCAACAGGAAGACCTTCTTGCACGTAGTGTTACAAGGTTACAAGGAAGAGCAGAGCATGCCTACCTCACAAGCTCAATTCTGCAAAGGATGTTGGGACAAACTTATTGATGTGATTTCCTAGTGAAGTTACTAAATTGTTCTTCAGATTTCCAGCTTCTGATAGTGGCATTAAATGGAACTGCTATATTTATCTGCATTTTTCAGCATTGAAAAAAAATGTGATTTTGAGAGTTTGGTGTAAAAGTTTCTGGATGTAAAGTTTTGGGAGAAATACTCATGAGATTTGTTTGTGGTTTTGAGAGAGTACAGGTGATGCTAATGAAGACTGCTGTAGCTAGTTACAGTCATATTACATAACCTTGGAAAATTAAGCCGATCTTGAATTCTTGAATGTTTGTTAGTATTTTGGTAAAGTGACGCTATATTTTCTGTATCTTAGATTGTATTTGAAGCTTTTTTGAAAAAAATAAAAGTCCAATAAAAGCACGCGATGGCAGTCTTGTAGCTGTCTAAGTCATCTTTCGTAGTTAAATATTCACAAAACATAGCCAGTCCATGTATTTTCTGAGAGAATGTTACTTGTTTCATTGTTTTGGTTTGGTTTACTGGATTTACTCTTGGGTGAGGTTTTTTTTGTTCGGGGTTTTTTTTCTTTGGTTGGTTGGTTTTTTTGTTTTGTTTTGTTTTTGTTTGTTTGGTTTGGTGTGCAGTTTTTTGAGGGGAGAGTTGTGGGGTTTCTTTTGCTTGTGTTTGTTTTGGTTTTGTTTTATTTCCTGTTTTGGGGCAGTTGGGTTTTTGTTTGGCTTTTTGAGTTTTTTGTTTGTTTTGGGGGGGAGTTGTTTTGTTCTTGTTGCATTTTTACTTCGTTTGCTTATTTATTTATTTTGCTTCAAACTGTTTTAGCACAAAATAGTTTGATCGCAATACTTCTACTTATTTCCAAGCATGACATTCTAGTGATTAAGACAATGAGACTCTTTATTTTGTGCATATTCTCAGGTAATACACCATGTTTTAGTAGATTGTTTCCAGATTAAACAATGAGCATTCCAAGGTACCTCAGCAGTGCTGAACTACTCGTAATTATAATCAGTCATGGTTACAAGAAGTTCTTTGTTCTGCAAACGTTTCAAATTCTGTACTTCAGAAAATTTATTGTGTCAAATGAAACATAATATTGCCTCCTCTATTTGGCAACAGATACTGCTTGCAGGTGATTGCAAATGAGCTTTTGATTATAGCTAGCCAAGACAAATGTAATTTTGGTGGTATTCCTATTCTAGTTTTAATTTAGGTTGCATTAAATAAGTTGCATTAAATAAGTTGCTGGAGATAGTTTCAGGCAGAAAAGTTTAAAATACAAACTTTAGTTTGTATTAGATTAGTGTTGCAGTTTACTTGGTAAATAACTAGTCCATTCATTTCCTTGACAATTGTTTGCTCAAGTTTCCTTAAGATTATAAAGTGGTTGTGTTCTATTTCCTCTAATAGAACACTGGGCAATTTTGATTGGTGATGAGATAAGCAATTATTCTTGGTGACATGATCTAGACACATCTTTACTAGGACACTAACTTATCCACAGAAACAAATTACAGTGCTCAAAGCTGATATCTGTCATAACAGTCTTTGCTACTTCTATTGCTTTTATTTAACAAACCGATTTATTTTATGGCTATTTGCACTGAATGTAAAACTCTTGCAGTTATTAATTTATACTAAATGTTGCAAAAGAACAAGCTTAAAATGCTACTGTGTATGTGTAACCTATTGTAGTGGCATGTAGGTTTTTATTTGAATGGGCAGTGTGCTTTTATTTTGGTATAATTTCTTTCTGTATTTGTGTCAGTTTCACTCTTAAAAAGTGGAAGGTTTTGTTTTGTCAAACTCACTGCAATGAAAGTTGTATTTTTGTTAGATTTGAGAACATGTTACTCATAGGCCTACTGAAAAGTTCACTGAAAGTGAACTGCAACACTAGAAAACAAGTGGATTATTTTGTTGTATTTAAAGGAAGAATCCAAAGACTGAGGTTAATGCAAATGATAATTTGAATAGAAAGGGAGGAAATGTGTGTTTCATAATGGAGAGATGAAACGGTTCAGCTGAATTAAATTTGAAGTTAGTTAATCTGTTCAGAATAGTTCTCCTATCTGTTTTGCAAATTAAAAATTCATCTATACTTTATCAGGTAGTTGCCAGATGTCTCTAAATGCAGGAGAAGCCTTGATTGCAAACAGGAGCTTAGTTTTAATGCTCTTTGCTTATGAAGGCTAAGGCTGCACAGTCAATACATTCTTTGACTGAGTGCAAGCTTGACAAAAATTCTGTAACTGGATCAAAGTTCCTTGTATATGACAGGATTCTGGCAACATTGCGTGTAATCTATTATTTGGGAAGACAAAATATTGAAGAACTGGCTGAAGTATAAAAATAATACCATAATTGCATATGTGAGGGTCCCAGCTGAATTCTGCTTAGAACAACACAAATTTGAATGTAAATTTCCCTTTACAGCTAGAACTGATGTGGGCAGTAACAACAAAGCTGAATTCAAAAAACATTTTCAAGTCTCTGGACTGCTAATTTAAGGGATGATTAACTCAGAAAGCAAGCTCTCATGTATAGGTTACAGTTCAAGAACACTGAAGCTGAGAATAACAACTGTGTCTTGACTGTTAGTCAAACAGTGTCTGCTCTACATCAAGAAGAGTGTTAGCTGCAGCAGCATTCAAATTTTATAATGTAACACAGATACTAATTTCATGAAATATTACATCACTGCATCAACTGTGAGTTACTGCGAGAGAAGCAGCACTTCTCAGAAAGCCAAGTCACATAAACCAAAGTAAATTGGGGGAGGACAGACAGAACCCCAGAATGATATACAATAGGAATAGTGCTTACAAGAAGAAATCTCCTGTACTGTGCCAGGAACATCCTAAACCAAATCAGCTAACTCCATGTCGAACTACCAGCAGTTAGATGTAAGCCTTCACCTTAAATCAAGAGAGAGTTATTTTATCCAGACAAATTAATTCCTGCTGAAGTTCTTTTCCACTGGAGATAAGACTGTCCATGGGGCTATACCAGGGATGAAACCATCCCACAGGAGTACTGCAGCATCAAAGAAGCATTATCATAACTGCTGAACAAATTTATCTTTGCAACATTTTAGCAAGGTTGTTCTCAAGCTGCTTCTATTAAAAAATACAATCTGGATGTTAGTCAACATGCATATAATTCCTCAAGGGGATGCAAACCCAGTGCCAATTCTAAAAAGCAAGAGACTAGAAAAAAAATAGACACTGAAATAATTGAACTCAAGCTGATGTGTTACCCTTTCAAACAGCTGAATTGTGGTTGCAGCTCAGAACTCAAATTAAGAAGCAAAAATGAAAAATACTAATATGAGTCTTTCAAGTAAACATGCATATGTATGGCAGGGATCAGACTTACAGGGAAAAACATTTGTTTGGGTGTTTGGCAAATTGTTAGCAAACTACACAGTTGTCTGTAAGACAAAACTCAGTCAGACCAAAGAGAATATTTTTAATATATTAATGAGAGTGATATATTTTCCCACAAAGCTATTTTGCTTCAAAGATCTTTGCCTGTTTTTTGCACGGCTAAGGAAATTCTTTGATTTCCTGACAATACTAAAAGAGTTCAAAATTTCATTTTTTATGGAGGTCGTTTCAACTAAAGCAGTAAGTAATCATCACAATGCTTTATTAATATTTTATATGGCAGATAGATATAAAAAGTAGATTGTTTTAGTTTATAACTGCTATTCCTTAATTAAAAATATACAATTAAAGGATAAGACAGGATGTGATCATTTTTAGAAAGTTGTTTTCTCTATTTTGGCATAGTGATACATAATGAAGTACAAAGAGCATGCTACTGCTTTTATATATTACTCAATATACAGAAGCACTTCCATATCTTTCAGTAGACTAAAATTTTTTTTTTAAAAAAATGTTGCTTGCTATGATGTTAAAGTCTTAGTCCATGTATTGCACACACAATAATTATAGAGTAAGAACTCCTTGTTCACAATATCAGAGAATTTTGCTTCTGCTTCTATAAGAATTGCATTTTAGTACTGATTTCTTCAGCCAAAGTTTTTGATATTTATTCTCCTACTATCCCATTTCCATCAGGCTTGCAATGCACATGGCTACTTTATAATCTGAGATAAAGATACTAATCCTGCAACTAAATTTTCTCTAGAGTATGGATATCAGAGAACTCTTAAATATGTGGATTAAATAAATGTCTGCTGAATCACAGAGACAATGTTCCCTCATTTTAGTGGCACTTCAAACAATCACAAGAGAATGGTACAGTGATCTTCCATAAGATGTTGGATGGATCTTACATAGTCCCAGAAATAGATGAGAACACTAAATAAAATTGTTTTCATTTCATTCAGACTACTTTCCTCTTCCAAACCTTTCTAGAAAATTTGCACTCAGTTCAGATCTGCTGGTTAAATATGCACACAGCTATGGACACCTGTAATTCATAAGAGAAGTGAAGCAGTGTAATCAGATGTGGAGCAGTGAAGGTAATAGCCAAAATTTTTGTTGATGGCATGTTAGGTTGGCTGCATCTGCCACTTTTTGTATGTCACTGAAACTTCCTTTTAGTACTATGAAGGAAAAAAAAAAGCAAAGAATCATTTTCAGTAAGTTTATTTATGGCTAAGATCCCTTTCTGAATAGAAGCTGGCCAAATCATAGGAGTTTAGTGTTGAATCAGATAGAAAGCTTAGTATATAGAGGCAGGAGGAATTTAAATTTAGCAGCTGCTCTGTGCCAAGTATATAGTCATTTTTCTTCAGGGAATTGGTTGAGTCCAGAAGCATTGGCAGTGGGTAAGGGGAAACCTATTTTGCTTCCAGCTGGCCAGTCTATGACTTTATAGCTCAGAGGTTTAAAGTATTATGCTGCCTGATGTGGGATGATTGCCTGATGACCAAGTGTGAAGTTGGGAAATAAAAATTACCTATTCTGACAAAGTTGTAATATTTGCACAGAGATTCTGATCTTGTTACCAGTATTATGATAAAACAGTCAGGTATGTGTAATTTAGTAAAATAACAGCAATAAAGATGGATAAGAAGTATATCACACACATCCTTCCTGTATTTTAAAAGGGTAATTCCTTTTTCTTAATTTTATATTTTCCAAAAGGGATAAAAAAGTGTTCATTAATCATGCAAATTACTTTCCAACTATACAGGAAATTAGTCAATGTTAAATTCTACTGTGTTTAAAAAAATATTTTGGGTAATCTAGATCTCAAAGGCCTGTAGACTTTTCAGAAAGGCTGAATCTTAATGGATAATCAGCAAGAGGACAGCCCTTCCCCATTCTCAGCTCTAAGGACTTCTCAATTGCAAATACATGCTGCTAAGAAGTTCACTACTATCAAA